GCGCTTCATGCCGCCACCCCACTTGATGGCGAAGTCGGGAAGGTACCAGGTGAGGAAGTAGACGATTGCGAGCCATCTCTTGCGTGAAGAGGACACAGGCACCACATCGACCTCTTCCATCTTCTTCCTGTTGCCCTTCTCGGCGAGCTCTTCCTTGGTTTCGAGATTGCGGAACATGTCGCCCGAGTTGAATGCAGAGGCGCCCGCCTCGGACTTGGTGTCGAGTTCTCTATTGCCGAAGTAGCCGCCTCCTTTTGTCTCGTCACCATATATGTTGGGTGTCCCATCGTGAGAAGGAACCAACCGGGCTTTGGAATCACTGAAAGGGTTCAGGCTCGGCGTACCGGGTCGGGAAAGTGTGGGGACATCGCCGCCGAAGTAAGCCGCGCTCTGAGAGCCGGTGAGAGCAATGCTTGCCCAGCAGCGTTCGCTGAGGAACACGCCGGTGTTGCCAATTCTTGCCTCATTCCCGGGCCACTGCTTGCTGTCCAAAACGAGCTGGGCCTTCTCGCGATCACTTCCCACGACGCCAGGGTCGGCCTCTGTCAGGCCCAGAAACTCCCCAAACGGTAGAAATATGTTGAAGTCGGCTGTCCGGAGTCTCTGACTGATTTCGGCTATGCCAAACATTTGGACTTGCTGCCGGACACATTTGCTGTCAAACTGGTTGGCGATCCTCCTGTCATTGGGCTTCAAGCAGAATATAAAGTAGTTGTTGACGTTAGGGGCAGTCAAAGATTTGGTGATATTGTCCAACGAAGAGAGGAATTGGGCTGCCGCACCCTGAGACAACCCGGTAGCAGAAGGCTTGGTTCGTCGGGTTCTGCCCTCTTCTGGGGCACTGGCCGAGTCGCCTTCCTCAGGGGGAGCAGGAGAACGGTCGGCTCTTCGACTCCCCATTCGGCGCAACTGTTCATGCTTCTTCCGGGACAAGCTAGGCATACGCAGAGGCTTCGAGCTGACCTGGGCTTGAACGATGGCTGTCTTCTCGGCTGGGTGGCTGACCGTGTTGAGCGCTTCTTGACCGAACAAGCTTGCAACAAAGTCGCTCTTGGTGGCTCTGATCATGTTCATCAAATCTCCCGAGACCACATCGCCGTTCTCCTCGACCAATCTATTGACGGGATAGTCGACTTCACCAGCGTAGTGGCGAACAGTGAACGAAGCAGCAAGGTTTGTGGTGGCAAAATTGCTCCCTGGCAAGGTCGTGGATGCGCTGCTGACTGTGATGGCCTTGTTCTTATCCTGGAACCGTTTTCGCAAGCTTTCCAGGAATTGGGTGTCTGTGCGGCCACGACGGGTTTGGTCATCGAGAATGGCGAGCAAGCCATTGCCATGCTTTAGAAGGCCGCGCACGGCGTCCGAATTGTCAAAGTACCTTGTGGCTGGCACGCTGACTTCCTCACTGTCAAGCATCTCGGCCGTCTTCTCAAAGAATCCGTGCAAGCAAGTATTGTAGAGCGACTCATTCGCAGCGTTGTTTAGCAGTTGGTCCAGGACCGAGCCGGTAGACGAGTGGTCTGCAAATCCGGGGAAGTCGACGATTGAGACTGTGTTGGCCACTGCGTCCTCTGCCGCACACATCCGTTGGTTGATGCTTTCGATAATGTATGCCACAAGAAGCGAGTACAGCGTTGTTGCGAGTTCGTCGGCGTTCTCTCTCGCGCCCTTGGCATCAAGCATTACGGTGACACGCTCCCGGTGGATTGTCCGCGTCTTATATCTCATGCTCTCCTCGAGATCCTTGACGCTGAGACCGAGAAACGCAGCGACCGAAGCAAGGGTGTCGGTGTTTTTGACCACCGTCACAGTCTCGCCACCCTCGTGCGAGAACCCACCACTTTCTTCCGCGGCGGTCATTGTAGCCTGGCCTGTCCCGAATTCGAGCTGGCCGATATGCAGAATGGCGGCCAGCACTTGACAGATCTCCGCAATTTCCGCCCTGGGAAACTCGAGTTTCCGCAAAGCCGTCTTGAAGTGCTGAAAGCCTTCGGCGTCATTGATGCCCACTTTCATCTGCGTTGGATGGCCTAAATATCTCCATCGCTTCTGAGCCACCGAGGCAGATCTTGTGAGGCCGCCAGTGCCCGAAGTACTGATGTTCGTGTGTCCGTTGAGGCCGAGATGTGCCTTCTCGGCTGCGCTGGTCCCCGCCAAGAGATAGTACAGCACATGAAAGCTCCTCTCACCGGTCGGGACGTGTGATATGCGACTCCTCTCCAGGCGATGGTCCAATATTTTCCCTCCAATGAGGGTGGGTATCGAAGAAGAAGCGTCATATTGTAACTCGTAGAACAGGCCGGCCTTGGAGGCCATCTGAGTAGTGGTAGTTTTGGTCGTCGTCAAAGTATCGAAGACGAAAGCGGCGAGAGACAGCTTGGAAGAGAGCGGTGTCGAGGAAAAGGAGAGAAAGGCTGAAAGGAGATGTGACCTGACCGTCGTCTTGCCGGACCCGGACTCGCCACTGTTGCACGATTAGCATCCGCTCCTGAACAGTTGTCGGTACGCCGTGATCGTCCTTACAAGAAAACGACTGCTTGATCCTCGCCTCTGCTTCCCAGTCGCGCCCACGCTCTGCGAGCAAGTTCCTCCGCCTCGCCCATGGCGCTGCCCTCCTTTTCTCCATTGGGTCCCCGGCTTGACGAAGTGTATGTGTTGAGACAGATTAGAGCCTGCGAGGATAGCTTTGCCGTCGGCAGTGAAACGTGGAATCGACTAGCCAGATGTGCCGTCAAATGAGTGTCGGATTGTAAATGAGGTGGGAGGGCAGGCAATGACGCCTGCAGATGAGCAGGGACATTGCCGCGAGCAGCCATTCCGTCGAGAGGTTTCGGACGCGTCAAATTATATGCAACGGCAAGCCGTCTCGGCTCTTACCCCAGATCGAACAGCAGATCGTCAATTCATCAGGATAGCGGCGGTTGGGACAAGGGTAACGATCCGGACTTCAGGAGCCTTGAAGCGTCAGTCGAAGGGGATCCGGAGTTTGCGAGGACGAAGCAACGAGCGTCAGGAGAGTCGAAAGAAACAACAATGAAAAGTGAGCGATTGCAACGAAGGGTCGTGGACTCGTAGCAAAGAGTGCAATTGAGAAAATCCAACGTCAAGTGAGTTGACAACAGGAGCAACACAGGCTTCGATATCCGCGCAGGAGAGAGGATCCGTCTGCGCCATTCATCGTTTGCCGGGCCAGAGATTTCAGGCGCGGGCGGTCATTGTACTGTCTTTACAACCGACACAACACACACCTGTCAGTCCCCCTGCCTGTTTCGGCCTTTTTGTCTAACAAGACAGTTGATCATTGGGCCAGTCCGCCAACTGCGCCACTGCCGCTCCTCCTGTGTACACGCGAGATCTTTGACTTCCCGGACAAGCACCAGGCCGCCGTCGATGCTGACTACTCGTACACCGCACAAGCTGAAAAAGAAGAAGAGCATGCCGGACCCGAATATAGAGTGATGACTCTTGTGGTGGTTGCGGCGTGCTGACTATTCTCGGTGACCCTTTTCTCTCGGGCTTGACTCAAAAAAGCACCCACTACGGCCTATTTGCCACACATCCAGTCGTACTCCGTATGTATACAAGTCATCATCCGGACTTGCTGCGCGGCCATGGTCAGTCCGCGACGAGCCACACCTGCTTGAGAGCGAATACTCCACGAAAAGGATGGCCTGGCTCCTTGCTACTATCGAGGAAACTGGAGAATGAGATTTGCGAGAAGAGACCTTCACTAGTTCCCATGTGTCAGACGACAATGCCAATTTTGTTGAGCGTTATTGTTCTCCTATTTTCCGCCGTGACAGTTGTAGCACCAGTCTCCGTCCTACGTAGGCACGTAGGCACCGTTCCGCAAAGCGTGACTGATGCGCAAGATCCGACGATGACGGCTGCCGAAGCCCCAAAGTGAGACAGTGTGTTCGTGATGCAGCACACATCATGCATCCTGCAGGTGAGCAGCGGCGGGCAGCAAACAGCCGAGCGGTGAAGCCTGAGCCCGGAGGTCGCACGCCCGCGGGAAAGGACAGTGAGGGGACTGTCAACACTTGTGCAGATCATGTGACTTGGCTGGCCCCGGGCTTGTTTGAGGCGAAGACGGAAATGTGGGCAGAGGTGGGCATCCACTGAAACAAGACGCGATGATTTTGCTCCCGTCTTTGGTTGGATCTCTCGTCATGCCGTGTTTACTCGTATTGGGTGTGACGGGAGTCAAGGCCCGGAAAGAACTCGTCAGTCGCGGCACCCGTTGTGCACCGTACATGTCGTCTTTACGTATTGCTTGACCTGCACGCGTGGTGCTTTCCACGACCGGTTGCCCTGGAGCACCTTCGCGTGACCGTGGTGATTGGCTTGGAGCAGATTCTTGACCTTTTAACCTCCCGGACTCCCCTGCAGCAACCCGAGCATCTCGGGCCCAGAGAAGGTTAATGTTATTCGAGATCCGGGGCTCGACTGCCCGAAAATGGGTGCTAGCGCTCAACGTGGCGCTGGAGATTGGCTGCTATTCTTGACCTGGCTCGCCCGTGGCTGCGGATCGCTGCGAGCGTTGCAGGGATGCTTATTGTTCGGTCATCAACCTGTAATGTAACGGTCAATACACAGCCCAAAACACGCGGGTGGAGCGTTGGGACTCCTGTCTGCTTGAGCCATTGCCAGTGTCGCTTCTGCCATCACCCATTCATTCTGTACACACCTTCGCTCAGTAACAGTATCACATTCGCTTACACGTTGCAATTGAACTGCTGAAGAGATTCATATTTATCAGCCCGTCGTTTTCTGCTGACCTTTGATCGCACGTTCCGCATGCTGCATTGACGATACCCCCGACGAGGCTCCTGTCGAACCCCTTCATTCAACCCCCCGAGAGCAGAGGCCAAGAAGAAAGTTGCAGGACCACGAAGAGCAGTTGGATATCAGACACAATTCCATCCTTTCCCAGCGCTCGGTAGAGGCCCTGTCGAGCAGGAAGGTCGACAGGGGCCCGAGCCCGACTTTGGCTCAACATGGCCAACCGTTACTCAACGTACTCGAACAATTCCTCCCACGTCGGTGCTGCTCGATCCGCGGCTCAGCAGCCAACGCAGGTCTCGACAACGACCCTGCTCAACTCTCTTCACACCGTCTACGCGTCAGGACAGACCTACCAGCTGGATTCATGCACGAGCGTCAGCGTCAACACCTGGCTGACCGCAGTCAACCCAGACGCCCAAGGCCGAGTAGGTGGCGTGGTTGATGCCGATCTCGTCTCAAGAGCATGGGAACATGCCAGGAGAAGAGCAGAGGATGGCTGTATAATCCTAGGCTCGCTACACCCTTCGACGCCCTCGCTGTTTCAGGCCTTCTTACAAGTCGTGCCCTTGCCCACTCCAGAGGTCGCGTACGCAGCTCTGACGGCGCTCCGACCCTTTCTCTCGTGTGTAACGCCTTCCAACCCAACAACATTTAGGCACTCTGCTCTCGCGGCCAAGTACACGGTCACTCTCGGCGGGACAGTGACCGGGTTTACCCTTGCCTTGTCAGGCTCGGGCATTGACGTGGAGAAAGGTCTGCTCAGGATCCCCTCCGAATCTGGCTTTCGCGCGTTTGACGTCTTCTATTACCTTTTAACGTCAGCATCCACTCCGGCTGAGCGCGAGGTTTTGGGCCTACAACCACCGTCCAAATACACGTTGTTGAACAGATCCGGATCCTACGATCCGCCCAGCTACCTCCCAACGGCCGACGATGCCGCGGCTGCAGAGGACTTTAGAACAGCTTTGAAGAGGATTGGGATCAAGGGCGCAGATTTCCGTGGTCTACTGTCCTGTCTTGCCGGGTTGCTGAAGCTGGGAGAGACAATTGGACTCTTGGTTGACGCGGATGTGTTGGAAGATACATGCCAGGACATAGGCGCTCTAATTGGACTCGAGCCCGACGTTCTCGCCAAAAAATGCACCACCGACGACCGCGAAGTGCTGATCGCCAGCATGTACGAAGCTTTGGTGGACTGGGTTCTGTCCAAGGCAAATGATGCCATTGCTGCAGAACTCCGCTCAGGTGCTCTCACCCCTGATTCCAGCACCGAGGCTGGTGATGAGGTCAGTCTGACCATCATTGAAGTGCCTGGCCAGGCACTCGGGAAGGCTATAGCTCTGCGGAGTGTTTTTGATGACACCCAAGGCATCAACGCCGAGATGAAGGACGATGGCGTCGAGGTCATCTCCGCTGGCCATTCGGTGTTGAACGAGACCAACACAGCTGTGGCAGAGGTGGAAGCTGATTTGGGCATCAAAGGCGGGCCCCTTAGCCGGGAAAGAGAGCACGACCGAGACCGAAGAGAGGGCATCCTGCAGAAGATTGGCGCCGAAGCCGAGGCTGGGGGTTTCCTGCGCACCTTGCTTTACCCAGTCGATGGCGAAGGCCTCAACTTTGGTCGGAGAGGTCGCTTCGACCTTACTACTACTCTCGCTAGCAGCAGGGCATGGTTTCAGCTCTCGATCCACCCCACCGACGATTCCCCGAGTACCCTGGCTGCCTCGCCGTCAGCAACCTCTGCATGGTCTGCTGGGCCGGTGTCGAGACAATTACGCGCATGGAGACTCCCAGAATGGGCGAACCATCGCAACCGGCGACTCGATTTCACAGCCGATTTCGACGTGGAGGAGTTCGTGACGAGATACTCCCGGCTCGGCTGCAAGGACGGCAAGGATGGGATCGAAACGTTCCTCCTAGAACGAGGGTGGACGAATGGCGAAGTGATCATCGGGAAGGAACGCATATGGATGCGTGAATCAGCGTGGTGGGAAGCTGAGTCAATGCTCGATATGAAAACCATCAAGCATGACTACCCCGAGAGCAACCCCTTTGCTGAACCACTCAACCCCTTCGCGTCGGGCTACTCGGCCAACCCGCCTCATAACGGTAGCGGCTTCTTTCCACCAATGGGCGACAATATGAGTGTCCAAGACAGCCGTGAGAACCTCCTGGGTGCCGCCGCTACAGAACGCGCGAAGTCGGTCGCGCCAACCATGGCTCGGACGACTCATACCATCGGCGGTGATTATGGTCTCGGTCCCAAAGGTGACACGCAGAAGAACGATTCATATTGGGACGCGGACCTCGGCCATTACGTTGGAGGAATGGACCCTGAGCTGGCTGATCCTCGAAATGTCCAGTCCGCAAAGACATCCGCGGGCAGACAAGCCTGGGTATCCCTTGTGTGGGCACTGACATTCTGGATCCCGTCGGTCTTCTTGCGCTATATTGGCCAGATGAAGCGACCCGATGTCCGCATGGCGTGGCGCGAGAAGTTGGTCTTGGTGTTTCTCATTTTCTTGCTGAACGGCGTCATTATCTTCTACATCATTGAGTTTGGGCGGTTGTTGTGTCCGAACTTCGACAAGGCCTGGAACGCCAAAGAAGTTGGCTTCCACACCGGCACGAATGACTACTACGCCAGTATTCGGGGCGGCGTGTACGACTTTACGAAATTCTACAAAACCCAACACAGCGACACCTCCATCAAAACCACCGCGGAGAACATGCTGCCTCTTGCTGGTATGAATCTCGACGCCTACTTTCCACCGCCCTTGAGCCGCGCCTGCCCGGGCCTGAACGTCGACGAAAGTGTGCTCCTCCAACACAACGACACGAGTGCTGTTCTGTTTCCCACCGCCCTCCACACCTCTGGGCATCGGTATCAACCTAATCAGCAATCCAAACTCTATTCCTGGGACTGGTACAGCGACGACTTCCTCCCCAAGATCAAGGAATACTACAAGGGAGATCTCGTCGTGACCAAGGCGAGCATCAAAAGTCAGGCCGAGAACGACCAAAGGCAGTGGGTGGTCATCGACAAGAAGATCTACGATTTGACTGACTATTTCTACACCCTGGACGTCATGAACAATTTTGTAACCTACAAATTCCTGCCCGACGAGGTTACCGAGCTGGTGCAGACCAATGCCGGTTCCGACATCACCAGTCTATGGGGTACCAGTGCTGCGTTCCAGAACAGTCTGAACTGCATGAACAATGCATTCTACGTGGGCAAGGTCGACTTCCGAGATTCCGCCAAGTGTCAAGTCAACAACTATCTCCTTCTGGCCTTCACCCTGATTCTGTGTGCTGTCATTCTGATCAAATTTTTGGCAGCTCTCCAGCTGGGCTCCAAACGTCGACCGGCTCCGCAGGACAAGTTCGTCATCTGCCAGGTTCCAGCGTACACTGAAGGTGAAGACCACCTTAGGAAATCGCTCGATTCTCTTACTGCTCTTCAGTACGACAACAAGAGGAAGCTTATCTGCGTCATCTGCGACGGCATGATCGTTGGAGGCGGCAACGATCGGCCTACCCCGAAGATCGTGCTCGACATCCTCGGCGTTGACCCTAAGATCGATCCTCCCGCTCTGCCCTTTCGGTCTGTCGGCAACGGCAGTGAGCAACTGAATTACGGCAAGGTCTACTCCGGACTGTACGAGTACGAGGGCAACGTGGTCCCTTACATTGTGATCATCAAGGTCGGGAAAGAGTCCGAGCAAACCAAGTCCAAGCCCGGCAATCGTGGTAAGCGAGACTCGCAGATCTTGCTCATGCAGTTTTTGAACCGTGTCCATCACCGGTCCCCCATGTCACCTCTCGAGCTCGAGATCTTCCACCAGATCAACAACATCATCGGCGTGGATCCTGAGTTGTATGAGTACCTTCTGATGGTGGATGCCGATACTATGGTCAAAGAGGATTCACTCAATCGCCTGGTGGCCGCCTGTGCCAACGACGCGAAGATCGCAGGTATATGTGGTGAGACGAGCTTGGAGAATGAAGAGCGGAGTTTGTGGACCATGATTCAGGTCTACGAATACTACATCTCGCATCATCTCGCCAAAGCTTTCGAGTCCTTGTTTGGCAGCGTCACCTGTTTACCCGGATGGTAGGTCGCTTCTCCGGTCGTGTTGGAATCCTGCTGACCCCTGCACAGTTTCTGTATGTACCGGCTTAGAACGGCCGACAAGGGACGACCCCTGATCATCTCCGACAAGGTCATCACCGAGTATGCCGACTGCGAGGTCGACACGCTGCACAAGAAGAACCTCCTCTCGCTCGGCGAAGATCGATATCTGACGACACTGATGACGAAGCATTTCCCGCAAATGTCATACAAGTTCATTCCCGACGCTTACGCCCTCACTGCCGCCCCGGAGTCGTGGTCTGTCCTGCTCTCGCAGAGAAGACGATGGATCAACTCGACCGTCCACAATCTTGCCGAGTTGGTCTTCTTGAAAGATCTGTGCGGTTTCTGTTGTTTCTCGATGAGATTCGTCGTCTTCATCGATTTGTTCGGCACGTTGATCCTGCCTGCAACATGCGCCTATCTCGGCTATCTCATCTACAGAGTCGCTTCCCATACGGGCCAATTTCCTCTTATCTCCCTTGTTATCATCGCGGCTGTGTACGGTCTCCAGGCCATCATATTCATTATCAAGCGACAATGGCAGCACGTGGGCTGGATGATCATCTACATCTTGGCATATCCGATCTACAGCTTCGTTTTGCCGGTCTATTCGTTCTGGAACCAAGACAACTTCTCCTGGGGTAACACGAGAATCGTCATCGGCGAGAAAGGAGACAAGAAGGTTGTGGCTATCCAAGATGAAGGATTCGATCCTCGTTCGATTCCGTTGCAAAGGTGGGACGACTACGCCGCTGCAAACAACCTTCCTGGTCGTCGTGGCAACCCGGGTGCATACCCCGAGAAAGGATTCGAGTATGGCTACACTGATGACCCCGCCATGATGGAGATGGACGACATGCACTCGACATACTCGTCTGTGAAACCTGCGAGCACCATTTTGGCTGGGTTTCCTCAGCAGCAAGGCCCATATATGGCCCCGCCACGATCAGCCACACCCATGGGAATGGGTATGGGCATGAACAATCGCGCTAGCACCATGACCGGCCTGACCAACTTCAAAGATCAGCCAGTCAGTCTTCACGGACGGAACATGTCCATGTTGTCTTTGGGAAGTCAAGCTCGCCTGGCCAAATCTCCATCGCCTCAACCCTTGCCCTACCAGGACCACCTCAACCGCAGCCGCAGCCCTTACCAAGGCGGTCTCCCACATTCCGCATCTCGGCCGTCCCTTTTGAACATTGCAAGCCGCCCGGCCTCGACAGTCATGGACTTCCGGACCGTACCTTCTGCTGGCCCGAGTGATCAAGACATCATCATTGCGATCCGCGCCGTCTTGATGGAAGTCGACCTTGACAAGGTCACCAAGAAGCAAGTCAGAGCATTGGTGGAGCAAAGACTGCAGTGCGAGGTGCCTGCGGGCGAAAGGCGGACATTCTTGGATAGGGCCATTGACGGGGAGTTGGCGAACATGTAGATCTGGGCCGGGAACATGTCTGTAGGATATAGGATGTCGAGAAAAAGTGCTGTTTGGATAACGAGCCGACGAATCAAAGCAAAAATTGGATGGGACATGCGGCGGCATTTGGATATTACATGAATGGACATTTGAGGAGTCACTCGGTCAGTCAGTTCGCTGGTCAAGGAAAGGAGGGCTGTTCGGGATAGCTCCTCCCACGCAAAGGAGGTTGTGTTTTGATACCTACAGCTACATTTAATCTACATCAACATCTACGTCTACATCTACCTCGATCAATGGCCAGTTATAGAAGCGATGAGGAGGGATTGGCTAATTGGCCAGGCCCAAGCGGGATGCAGACTCGTACAGGTATCGGCCTCGATGTTAGGATAGAATGAAATGAAATGAAATGGAACCCTTGAAATGAGGATGAGGATGGGCGGAGGCATTTTTCCGCAGCGGACAGTTCGCTCTCTGGGCTTGAGGAATCCCAGACCTCCCAGAGCAGGATTCTTGGTTTCGTCGGGCACCCTGCGCGGACCGTCATTAGCACGGGAGCTTGCGCGTGGCGGGAAAGGCCTGTCAAGCACAGATTTCGCCATGATCTTCCTTCTCGTCTCGGTCGACTGGCATCGAAGAAAGTCTTTCCACTGGTCGAGCTCCTAGGAGGTCACCAGAAGCATGGCAGTTGAACCCTACCGTCCACCACCCGTCACCAGGACAACCGAGCTGAACTTATTTGGGTGGGATACCGTGGTAGCGAGGGGCCATCCCGAGAAAGAGATGGAAAAGAACGAGGTGATGTGGCTGTCACGGACCATAGCCCCAGCCTGACATGTGGAAGAAAGAGCCTGACACATGGACTCTCACCAGGCTGTGACCAAGCTGTGACAAGCACCTCATCAATTACATGATTCCCACATGATATGTGCCGAGGAGCGGGCACGGTGTGCAAATGCCACATTGAATCTGCCTGTACGGAGTCTTGTGAGTAAAAATTTACCGACAAGTAGAGCTGAGGGCGTTGTTCAAAGCACCAACAAGGCGCGGGAAACAAACAGGGGTTATTTACCTAGGTACCTTGCTTGATTCATGTAAGGATCCCGTAATGTCCCGAGGTAGGGAGTACCGAAGTACTCCTGGTAGGTAACTATAGCACTAAGAATACGGAGTACGGAGTACTCGACATTGGTTTGCCCTGTCAGGATCATCCTCACCATAGACGCCATGTAAATCTCAACGTCCCGGCTACTTCCACGAAGATGCTGTACCCTGCGCCATCCGCCTAGCACGTGATTCTTATACCGAGATCTTATTGTAATTATCATCCTTGATCGGGCCGCGATGCCCTCAGCAAGTTAGTGTCGAATACCAGCCCGCTGACCGAGCATTATACCCCAACACGACAGATTCTCACTGGACACAGGGGAAAGCCAGCCCGTCTTCAGCGTGTGGACCCTACGTGAATCACGCCCAGCAGCTTGCACAGACCGGGAGCGCTCACAAGGTCGATCCAAGTACTGGACCCCATGAAAAGCCACAACGTCGTCTCCTTGGTATAGACGAGGCATGACGGACGCAAGCTGATCCGCCAATATGGGGCGGGGGCAAGATACTACGGACCTGATGCTGCCAATCCCGAGGCTAGTTAGCAGGTTCTGCGAAGGGGCTGCTGCAAGCTGCGTGTGCGTGGCCGAGAAGGTGTCTCTTACCGTTATTTGGTCGAGCAGTTGGCGTCAGATGAGATATGTATGGCAGCAAAACACGGCAATGGGCCAAATCAAGGAAGTGGGCCGCGAAATGGCGAATGTGTTCTGTAGGCAGTAGACAAAAGGCGCGACAGTTGAGGGACTATGACAGCGCTACTCGTAGCGGATCGTAGGGACTGGACCTTGGCGCCGACGGTTCTGCACTTGTACCGCCAATCGCGTGTCGTCCGCAGGCTACGAAATATTCCTATCACAGTACTCCGTCCTATGTAGGAGGGTGCTAGGCACGACGTCTGGCGACTTGGCAATCTTCGAGGATGTGACGTTGAAACCCAGGGCTGACGCTACTGTCCGCGGATTCGGGGGCCGCCGGGCTGGATGCCGGGGGGCGGGGGTGGTAGAGGGAGAGGGGAGAGCGCCGAACTCGGAATCTCCAGGGTGAGATGGCGGGAAGAACCTTAAAACGACTTCGCTCACATTACAGTAGTCTTGACGAGTTCTAGTGGACGTCGCAGTCGCTCCTGTACGAGGTACTTCCCCCAGGTGTTGGAAAACAACCAGCCCTGTTGCAGAACACCCAGACAACTCCCTTCCCGGCCTTTCCCGGCCTCTCCCGGCCTCTCCCGTCCACTCCTGTACCCCCTCCCACCGCACGTCATGTCTTAGCGTCCCCTGTTCAGTCGAGATCATCTAAAGTTCCCTTTCGACTTGACCGTCGGGAACCAGCTCCAGCCCTGAGCCGGTTGGGCGGCGGAAGCACGGGCACGGGCTTAATTCCAGGCGCGACCTGCCGTGGGTTGTGATGTAGTTCGACCCCCGCCGGAGCACGGAAATCTCGTGGATGGTTCCGGGCACCTGATTCAATGGCTTCGCCTGCGGCGATTCTGGCAGCATCCCTGGCGCCATCTGCGGCGATCATTGCAGCATCTCTCGCGCCGTCGGCTCTCAGTCCGTTGGCCCCATAAGCGAAGCCTGCGACGCCCAGACCCGCCGTCGCGGCGATTCCGGCGACGCCCAGCCTGACCGCGTTATCCCTCCAGTTTAACCTGTCGGCGGCATCGAGATTTGCCTGGTTCCGTCTGTCGGCAGCCTCGATCTCGGCCCGGGTTCGTGCGTCGGCGGCGGCAATTTCGGCCCTGGTTCGTCGATCGGCGGCATGGATGTTCCGGTCGTTCCGTTGGTCGCTGGCTCTCTCCTGGAAAATCTGCCGATTGTCCTGTTTGGTCCCCAGTCTCGCTTGCCGGTCATTGGCTTCTCTCTCTTGCAGCAAGGTGCGTCGGTCTTCCCGGTCGTGATCGTACGGCGTCAAGCCAAATTGAAGAGTCCGGTGAGGTGGCGGCGAGATCAAATTTTCATCGCCCAACGGCGGAAAGGGCAACGCCGGCCGACTCGGCGGGACTTTCAAGGTCGAGTCTGGGACGAAGTGCTCCATTTCTGGCAACGGCTCGTCAAGGATCTCGTAGGGATCGGGTTCTGGCTCGGGAGACCTGGGCCGATGTGGGCGCTCATCACGAGTTCGCGGTGGATAGGTGTGCTGCTCTTCATCGTCACGTAGAGGTGGAGGGCCGATTGGGGAGGGGTCTGGTGCAGGGCCGCTCGAGGAGGGACCGGCATGAGCCATGATGTTGTATGTGACAAAATCGATCCCCCTTCACGATACCATGCTATACTGTACTGTGGACACTGTACACTGTCGACAAACATTCTTCATCCTCCTTTATAGATATCCCAGTCAGCCCCCCCCCCTCCCCACAGATGTTATATTTAACCCACAAGACAATACCCAGGCTAAGGATGACTGTATAATGAGGCAGTGGCGGTCAGCCCTGTCGATGTGGTGAGTTGTAGGTCTTACAGAGTATATTCCATGACCGAAGTCCTGTCCTGGTCGGGAAGGTGGTATCTCCGTAGCGTCAGCGATACAAAGCGGAGGAAGTACTTAACCCAAAGATCGATTTCCTATTGCCTACATTGGCGATCCTGGGTGATACTCCTGATCTGGCCGAGACTCTTGCTAGGCCCTTGCCATGTGAGTGGGTGCGCGGATAGTGGCGAGGCTAAGGCTGAGCAATATGGCAGCAACCAGACAGGGACGGAATTCTCCGGCTATCCAACCCGAGTTCAAGGGTATTTGGAGGTCATTTTAATGCAGTTCACATTAACATTATCATATTGGAGAAGAAAGACATGTAGGTAGCCTAGTCTCCGACTATACTCCTCGACGAAGACTATGACAATGCAGCTTGGTTACTATAAGATCCAGCACCAACAGGAAAGGCGCGCGAAGCACTCCTGGGTACTGTCTATGTGCCAGAGAGGGAAACTTGCCACAAGCCATGTGATTTTGCTCGCGAGGGGGCCCAAGTCATGCTAGCACCCCCCGGCTGGCACTGCTGGGCATCAGCGGGCTCCGAGATTGCGCGACTTTCTCCACCAAAGCGCGGAGGATCTACGGGCCTATACCTCGCCCTCCGTACCATAGTACGAGTACCCAGTACTGCTGCCGTTGCCATTCAAGGAGTCCGCGGGGCCCCGCGCAGGCGGGCTCATGACTGTAGCGGCACGCCAGCCACCCACACGCACGTTGCCGTCCCGGGCTCTTGGCGCGGGACGCCTGAGCCACTTGGCCATTTGTTGCCCCGCGGTCGACCACGAGTCACGCGAGCAAGTGCTCCATCGGGATGTCGACTTTTCACGACGGCCCCGAAGTACTACATTGTACCCAGTACCCTTGTATTCTCCTAATGAAACACGCTTTGTGGTCCCCCGCCGCTCTATGCAGCCAATACTGGGGTACAACAGTGCACAGGAGATCCTCTCAATCGCCTGGAACATGGTATACGAGTAACCAGGTTAGCAACTCTTTGAAGCGTAAAAGCGACGGTCGCTGCTTCTTGCTGGCATTGGTTTAGCGCTAATTTTCATTTGGCGATTTCACGGGTACGCTGTAGTACTCGTATGGAGTCCGTGGCTGTCAGCTTCTGGAAACGTCGGCATCCAACCCAAGTCAGGATTTCTTCGCTTTTGGGAGGAGACGTTTCCAGCTGAGCGCAGCCGGCCTCGGGCCGTTTGGCGACACCATGTAACCATCCACATGCCCGGTCGCATCCTGACAGGAGCCCGAATTATTTCTGGATACATCGAACAATCAATCGTTCCGAGGTCATCGCCCATCTTTAGAACCATCGTCTCATAGCCACACGTCCGCGTACCGCCGTATAATATGATCAGTGGATTGCTCTCTCGGAGTGTTGTCGACACTCACGGCACTGACACCGACAGAAAAGACGCCCTTGTACTTGAGCTTACCGGTGTTCAAAGGCAGTAAGCATTGACGCTTCGCCGAAGAAAGATGCACGCGCCCGACATGGACCACGGGGAGATGTACAGCGGGGAGATGTACAGCTACGACAATCACGACAACCACGAGCACGCCGCCGGTCATGGCGATGAGAGCCTCTCCTCCGACGACATCCTGGCGCAGATTGACTATTATCTTGACGAGTACGAGCGCATGTTTTACGACCTTGCCAGTAAGTCATCAAGACGTCTCAAGACAGTTCCCTTCTCGTTTGACACGATGCCTGCTTGTTCGGGAATATATGCTCGCGCTATACTCCTACCCCAGCCAGAAATATCAGCCAAGCGAAGGTTGATGCGCTATACCCGCGACAGGCTGCTTACCCAACCAGGAATATCAACCAAACAAAGTTTGACGTGCTAATGAGAACACCCTGCTATAGTGGCGGAAGAGGAGCAGCAGAACGGGCTCCGGCGCATCCTTCGCACGCTGAAGCGATTCGGCAAACAACACCGCCAACTCAACCCGGACGATGAAGAAGCACACTCGCGTTACAAGTTCTTCAAGCATGCGCACAAGGGGAAATACATCCCAGATCCCGACGAGGACGAGTCCGAGTACCGTCCGTACAAGGTCGAGTTGATGGACGAGGAATCGGAAGATGATTCCGACTCGGACTCGGAGGCAGACGAAGCAGAGGAGCACTGCCCATATGACGGGGAAGACGATGGCGTCAATGGCGGATGGGAAGAGGGAGGCTATCATGGTGAGGGGGACGAAGAAGGGAATTACGACGAGGGAGAATGGGATCGATACCACGGTGAGGGAGAAGGGTACCACGACGAGGGAGAAGAGTACAACGGTGAGGGAGAAGGGTACCGCAATGAGGGAGAAGGACACCACCGCCAAGGAGAGAAAGGATATCACAGTGGTGAAGAAGAAGAGTACTACCGCCATGGAGAGAAAGGATACCACGGTGAGGAAGAAGCAGACCACCGCCATCACAAGCACGAATAGTACAGAGAGTCCGTGCCAGCCTTGTCGGTGATAGGGTCCTTCGACTACTCGTACCCTTGAAGTCACACGACTCATCGCGGAACTGTACTGTGTGTATCCACTTGGTTCGGAAGTCTACTTACATACCTAGGTAGGTACGTAGGTATTCTCATACATGTACGGACAAATCGATTTCTTATTGTAATGGGGCGCTGATGAAGTGGTTGGTGGTTTGGCAAGGCTGCCGTTTCAATGGATTGATTGATGAATTTAAGTCGTACACAGTTGGCGATTTGCAGCTATATGGGTCAAAGCCTGGTCTTGGCGCTTCCCCGCGGGGTCCTCGTTTGTCGCCGTCAATTCGCCCAGGCCGTCAAGACCCCCTCTTCGCAGCCCTTTACGTCCCTCTGTGTCCGTGAACAAGGCTGCCATCTCCCTGTACACATCGCTCTGATTGGTGGAGCCACTTGGCGCAAGGCTGCGCTTTTTTCCTTTTCCTTTTCCTTCTCCTTTTCCTTTTCCTTCTCCTTTTCCTTTTCCTTTTTCCTTTGATAGTTCATAGACAGGATAATTAGACAATACACACCGCTCCGCTGCAGACATCGCACCGTTCGTCTGAAAAGTAGTGTAGTTGAGTGTGAGAGGGGCATACCCGCTGGCCATGAAGTCTCACCCCAGCTCATTATCTTCGTAACCTCCAAGGCAAGCCTCTCCTCGTAGTCACGCGAACTAGTATACAAGATACCACTCCACCCTGCCCATTACCACGTGACCATGCATTTCACACGTGCTGTGTTATAAGACGAGGTATGCCTCGTCTTCGGAATTGTGGACATGCAAATTAGTTCAAAGAGACTCTCAAGACAACTCCGTCGTGCACGATGGAGCCAGACTAAAATTAATAGCGGTGGTATTCAATCTAAAGAGTGTATGTCCAACTGGGTCAACCGTCGTGGGCGCCTGGTTGCAGGTTCGGCAAGCCAGACACCTCTGCCCGCCAGCGCTGTCAAGCTCACCAAGTCTATTCTCTATCCCAAATCCGGGCCCAAGATGAACTGAAGCAAAACAGGTCAGGGTATCTTGAAGAAAAGCCGAGGCTCAAAGGTCCAAAGCCTGAGCCAAAGAAGGAAAACCAAATGAGTGTATGCCTCCAACTTTTGGTGCCAAAATGCAGCGGCTATTCCATAGCCTGGGAAAATGTCGCTTGGGTCGAATTGAAGATGCAGTCCTTTCCACAGCACGCAGAGACGTCGCGTGGATTTTGTGGGGTAATCAATATAACAAATGGAAATCACATGCCATAGCTGCCGCCAAAGGGGCCCGTGCTCGTCCTCGCCTTAGAAAGCGACACCAACGCCAGGACTTCGCAGGGGGCCACCAATCTCCTTGATCAGAATGTCGTAATTGCCGTTGACGATATCCGCGTAGCAGGGTGGCATATCGGGCACACCGCTGACGATCGGTCTCAGTCCGCTCTTGGCCACACTTCGCACCGTTCCCGATCGGCTCTGCAGATTCTCCGAGTATGTAGTCACGCTTGTTGCATCCGTCTGGCTCTGGTCGCCTTGGGACAGGATGTCCGTATCCACGGTACTAGCGATGGTGGATTCGGTCATTGTCCTTTGGTGTTGACGTGGCCAAAGCGGCAACGGCTTCGGCGGTGGTGCGGCAGTGGCCGACAGCTGGTAGAATTGCGATCGTTTCCGACGGTGCTCGGCAAAGGACGAAGAGGTCGACGAGGACTTCGTGGTGCTGATCGACGAGGAAGTGCGATGAGCAAGCCATTGTGAGATTCTTCGCTGTGTCTGGTAGTTGGGGTGGAAGTAGCCGGACGGCGAGTTCATGTCCGCCGGCTTGGAGAAATTCCTGGAAGGCGCGGCAGGCACCGACGGTGGGGGCGCTGGAGCCTCGGGAGGCACTTCGCCCTGATGTTCTGCCGCTACGTCGACGACACTGGGGAAGTCCAATACGGTGTCACCAATAGCGACCGAGGTCGGCCCAGGGCTGAACTCTTCTTGCATGGGAGTAAGCACGGCCACAGAGGCTTCCGATCGAACGCCGGGGAAGTGGATCTGGGGAGGCAATCCGGGAAGCGAAGCCCACGAAACCGGATGAGAGTGCAGCGCGTCGTACTCTGAAGGTGGTCTTGATATGGCGATGACCGTGGACGATGTGTCAGGGCGCACAAGCGACGCACGTCGCTGCTCAATCATCGAAGCAGGCTTGACCGCCGCCGGCATCATCGAGATCTTGTGCGGGACGAATTCTTCCGACTTTGTGCGCACGAGTGCTCGAGGGGGCAGTTTGATCTCCCCACCCTCTGTGAAACTCAGTCGATCAAAAGCCGGTAGGTCGGATAGTCGATTGCTGGGCATGTAGATGCTGAGCTCGAGCGGACGATAATCCTGGCCGGCCCGCCGCAGGGGTAGCTGCTGCGAAGGAGGCAGAGGTGGTTGCGGAGCTGAAATAGATGGCTTCGAGGCATGTCTCCGGATCGACAGACTGGATCTGAGCGAGGCCTTGCCCTGCGAGACCCATTGCGAAAGCTGAGACGGCAGAGGCGGCGTGGGAGTGGGAGGCAACTCGTCGAAGACAGTGAGCTTCATTGGCGGCACCAAATGAGGTTGCTGGTACATAACGCGCATTTCCCGCTCAACACCTGGAGGGGAATCAGACTTGTCAATCCTGACCGTGCGAGTTACGAACCTGCTGGCATTGCTTCATCCTGCATTTGCTGTTTGTCCGTCCCCGGCGAGAAGCAGTGAAAGAATTCGAGATGGCATGCGGGCTCCAGTGAGTCCTCTGGCGCGACCTTCGACTTCATGTTGCGGGCAAGGGATCAACCCTCGATACACAGCGTCCGAAGAGGTCTCTTCCACCACGAAGATGGCAACAGTAGCAGAGCGGTATTGGTGATGCCAGCATCAACGGCGAAAGGGCGCAAACATTAGGCAGGGCAGATAGCAATTACAAGTACAATGGGAATATGCAAGGACAGGAAGGCGTGGTGCTCGCAAACCCGCAGCTGCAACCGACCGCAATATCACGCTTCCTTGAGCAAGGAAGTCGAGCTCCGGTAGGAGGGACGGGGGATGTCTGAATGGTACCTTTCAAGCTGCCTCGCTGTGTGGAGCAGACGATCCTCGAGAACTGCTGTTCCCGCAGAGCTTTCTCCTTGGGCCGACTCATGCTCTCCTCGTGGCGTCGATCCAGACGTTGCAGCGGAGTCCTGGTAGATTCGATCAATCACATTCGGTCCAGGGCGCTTGTTCAATGGCAGCTGGACACGCCAAAGGGTGCCCTGGGCCGAGATGACCGTGAGCTTCTTGCATGGCGACGCGGATGGTTGGACGAGAGCCTGCCAGCAGAGACGGCCATGCCAGGTCAGCAATTATCCGAGAGGCTTCAGAACTCAGCAAGCGCCTACGCCATGGGATAGTGGACGGTGTGTTGATGGGAGAGTGTGCGCCTTGTCATTCGCCGGCGATGTTGTGTGAAGGAAGATGAGGCGGGCGGCTAGCTGCCTGCGCCTCCACCAATCGCACCGTCCCGCCTGCTTCTACACACGAGGCTCCCGAGCAATTAGTGCGAGCAGGACGCAGTAGTGCACAAGGTGGATGGCCGCAGAAACAGGCTGTTCTTGTCCGACAGCTCTCGGTGCGATGAAACAGCCGCACAGAACCCGTGGATGGCCTCGAGCCCGATGACGCCTTGTTTCAGAAAGTGATTGCTCAATACCCATTTTCACATTGGCCGTCCGCTAATAATGGGCGAATTGGTTATTACCGACGACACCACCTTCTCGTCCCTAATCTGCAATTTTGTACACATACGAAGTACACACACGTGGCTTCCTCTCGACCAGCAGCTCAGACATCCGCGGCAATTCCCACTTGCAAGGCAAAGACTGGAAATTAACCCCAAGCTCAGTCAGTACCTGTCCATGACTCTCAGCCTGCTATCCATTGCCCCATCCGGCTGAGTAATTTCTCGTCCATCGACATCAATGTATCGTCTCTCGGGTTCCATCGGCCGATATCTTGGGTCTGACATGGGCGCATACTCTGGTGCGAGAGGTCGCCTGTCGTCCATGAAGACACTCCCTTCGCGACCCACTGGACGAACACTGAGACCCCGTGGTATCATTTCCATCGGGGGACCCTCTTCGTATCGTGTTGCAGGCGGCGGCCGGACACTGCCTGCACGAACAGGCTCGCGAAATTCGGCCCGTTCATCCGGGTACATCGTCGGACGAATTGGGCGTTCCATCATTTGCACGCTAGCGCTTCGCATTGGCGGTGCCGGCTCAAGGTATTCTCTTGTGACTGGCGACGCAATTGCAGACGCCCGTGGTGGATCTGCGACACGACGATACGAGACAGGCGGCGGAGGCATGTCTGCACCGTAGGCTCGTTCCTGAGGGGAATCGACAAACACCGACCCTGCTCGGCCTTGCCGAGAATATTGTTCGTAGACGGGCTCCACTTCTCTGCGGATTGGCACTTCTCGAGGTGCAACCGACTGGCGCTCGTGGACAATTTCGCGGAATCTCCTGCCGTACTGGTCGACGATTATTCGCTCAACCGGCGGTGGGAGAGGCTCGGCAACGTAGCGGTGATAAGTGCCATCGCGCTCATCGTAGACATCACGATACACCGGTGGACGTGGATGGTCGTACTCAACTGGTAACTCGCGTAGGGGCCGGCCTGATTCGGTGATTGCAGGACTCCCCGTTCGGGCGTAAGATGCAGCACGAGTTCGCGTTGGAGTATCGTAGTAGGGATCGACGTAATCTCGAGGTGGCTCAGCTCGCAGAGTGTGCATACTCGCCACGCGGCGCAGATCTTGATCGTCTCTGCCGGGTCTCATGCTGGACCTGGACAATGGACGGGGCTCACTGGAGGGCATCAAGCGTTCAACTTGGCGTGGAAGCGGCCGAGCGGGAGATTCCACATACCGTTTATGAGGGGGAACAGCATACCGCACTTCTTGCGCAGATTCATCATCAAGGACGATGGGCCGATCTACACCACCCGGATGAAGCCTGGCAGTACCAAGTGGCTGGACGTCGTGGAATGGTGGCGGCGAGATATCCTCTTCTTTGACGTCTGGAGACATCCTGCCGTTTCTGCGGGCCTGTCTCTTCTGATTGCGCCCTTCAAGCTTCCTCCTCTTCCTGGCGGGTAGTGTCTGGTTGTCATCAGGACTGGGTGGAGATCCTGGTCTTCCAATCCATTGTTTGCGGCCGGAACGTGCGTTCTGTGAGAGTGGGGAGTCCTTAGTTACAGCCAGAGGCGACACACGAGACGGACGGGGAGCAACGGGGGAGGTGATGTGGTTCCTTACAATCCGCATACGGGCCTCAGACGGCGAGGGTGGCCTGGGCCCCATGTCTTCCACTTCCGAATATCTGCGCAAAGGTCGACTGCGTGGATCTCTACTGTCTCGTATGTCTTCAGCTTGAGGAGCCTTGGGCGAGGGGACCTGTATGGCAGCCTCGGGGGGTGAGTACTCCCCCTCCTCTTCCTCGTCGTCGACGTCCATCCCAGTTGTATCAAGGGGCGGCAGAGGCTTCGTGGGTTCCGCGGCAGCAGGTGCAGGCAATGTGACAGGGGCGGAGATGAGGTCATCGGCATCAGGGTAGAGCGGTGCGCCCATGACGGCGCTCACGGCACGTAGCCCGGAAGACTCGTCCGCCTGCTCCTCATCAGCTTCATCTGGAGAATCGCTAGGTGGCCCTTCAGGAGTCGAGTCAGGCGCTCTACTAGAGTAAAACTCGTCCTCGTTGACCGAGTCCGTGGCTTCCTCTTCGTCCTTGGCAGAAGGGGATTTGGCCGTGCCGGTCACTCTGGCGAAGATGGCCGGCAGGTCGAAGTCGGGTTTTGCTTCTGCGGGCGCAGGTTTCTTGCGAGCATCGGCCCTCTTTTGCTCAAATTGATCTCTCAGGGCCTTTTCGAGGCGTTGTCTCTTAAGCAACGTCTCGGCTCGAATCAGATCATCTGACTTCGTCAAGAGCACAGGATCAAACTCAGAAACACTAGGGGTGGGTTGACCGCCAGGTGGAGCGGGCACCCCGTTTGGCTTGTTGTGGGGTTGTGTGAGCTCATCTTCACGCTTGTTGGACTGCGCACCAGCCTCAAGACGATTTGGCGACGGAGTGGCAGGGGAGGGAGAAGGTACATGCAACTGATTCTGCGAAAGGGCCGAGGAGTTCTGCGAACTAGGCACGCGGATGGCATGCGCCGGCACCGTCAATCTAGGATGAGTCCCGGAAAATACCTCGTCGCGAATCCTCAAGATCTTCTCGTATTCGAGAGCCTCATTGATGGACTGCGCGGGTGGTGGCAAGATGCCGTTGGGTAGGGCGACAGCGGAAGCTGACATGTCTAGGGATGCGCGTCTGAGGTGCGCAAGGCCGGGGAGAACTGGGTTTTACCTAGTTGAAGACATGGTAAGGACCAAGATTTGGAGGAAGGGAAGGATGCGGTAGGAATGCTAGCAAGAAGCAAGAGTAGAGGAATCGTCCCTTGCTGGAGGGAACCTGCCACCTTTGCCGGGTGACCTTAAGCTGATGAGTGAAGGAAAGGAGAGTTGGATTCGGATTCCAGTTTCGCGACTTTCACCAGCAGCTGCAGCACCAGCCATTCTTGGCAATTTTGTCGGCGGTCACGTGGGAGATCGAGCGACACGGAAACTTCCACTACGGCGGGCTATTTGATGAGGAAGTGTAGCATAGTGACGTCTCCAGTGTGCACAGTAGGTACCTACTTGTAGGCGGCACCTAGGTAACTCGGGAGTAACCAGGGCTGGTGAGAGCACCAAGATCGGGGCGCACAGCGGCCACGCAGTTGAGAAATCATCGATCTGCATGCAGCTCCCTATTCCGAAGCGGCCTCGTTCTTCGTTTCGACGCGAGGTACTATATGAGCTTGGTAAAGAATCCATCATCGAGCGATAGTTCAGCGATACATGATGTTCAACCGTAGGGCCCTCCCCTGGATGATTTCTATCCCATCTGATCGCCCAGATGAGTTCTTGAAGATGTATATGGTCCTCGTCATGCCTAGGAAGACGGCCCCGAATGTCGACCTCAGTTACATGTACTGTAGTCTTCAAGACCATGGCAAGTCTCTGAGGGGCTGTCCAGACGTCCTTTTGGGATGACGCACGCTTGGGCGCCGTGTATCTGAGAAATGGAGGCGTCTTCTGCTGTGTCGAGGACTAGCTCTACAACACCGATATTTGGCTTGGTCTCAATCGAGCGCATTTTGAAGTAGATCGAATGGTAGGTAAAGGGATTGCAGTCCAGGAAGGGGATCGGCTGCTCAAAAGCGCAATACGGAAATCCAACATCTGCAGCCGTCGAAGTTTGGTGTCAACCTGAGTCAGTCTCCACGCTCCGAGTCGTTCAAACGGCGTAGACAGCATAGGTACCTCGTAGGACTCGAAGTAGACCTCCGTGTGTGCTGTATTGTTGGTCGCGGCAATGATGGAGTATCAGTACGGCTGACAAAATTGCATGACGCGCGGTAGAGTCCCAGTCCGCCCGTCAATTCGGCTTCGCCACCGATGTCGTCTTCCATACGAAGAAAAGAGTCATAATGATTATCGGAGTTGATTTTGACTTGATTTGATTTTTCCCTTTGACTTACACTGCGACCACCATGATATGACACGACACGTTAATTGACTTTCTTTCTCCAGCTTGCCGTTATAGATTTCCTACCACCATAGACCTCGACTCACCGTCATTCTCCCCATCGCCACCTTTATTATAGACACCACCACCTCCACGACTTTTAGACCATGGGTTCCATACACATCCACCCCTCAGCCCGACCCTCAGCCGAACCTCCAGCCGGCGCCGACACCGACAACGACGCTGACGTGACCGGGCACCACGACACGCGGGCCGTCTTCTTCTTCGACATCGACAACTGCCTGTACGCCAAGTCGCGCAAAGTGCACGACCACATGGCGCGGCTGATCAACCAGTACTTCACGACGCACCTGGACGTGACGGCCGAGGAAGCCACGCACCTGCACCAAAAGTACTACCAGGACTACGGGCTGGCGATCGAGGGCCTGGCGCGCTTCCACAAGATCGACCCGCTGGACTTTAACCGCGAGGTCGACGACGCGCTGCCGCTGGACGAGCTGCTCGAGCCGCACCCGGAAACGCGCGCGCTGCTGCAGCGGTTCGACCCGGCAAAAGTCAAGCTGTGGCTGTTTACCAACGCCCACGTCACGCACGGCCGCCGCGTCGTGCGCCTGCTGGGTATCGACGACCTGTTCGAGGGCATCACCTACTGCGACTATGCGCGCGTGCCGCTGGTGCCCAAGCCGTTGCCCGAGATGTTTGCCAAGGCCGAGCGCGAGGCCGGCGTGTCTGTCCACACGCCCGCCGTCTATTTTGTCGACGACTCGTTTCTCAACTGTCGCGCCGCTTACGCGCGCGGCTGGACCAACACGGTGCATCTCGTCGAAAAGGGCGTGCCGGAGCCGGCCGAGAAGGCGAGCAAGTACCAGATCAGCCATCTCTCACAGCTCTTGGATCTGTTTCCGGAGCTGCTGAAGACCGACACATAAGAGATGGTTCGTTGAAGGAAGGATAGAGGTTATAGATGATATGATATAATATGTGATACATGATGCATGATAGATAAGGTGGCGAGCTGCCGACTCGCTTGGATTTGCGAAATCCCGATTCCCATCCCAGGCATTTTTCCTGTTTCCCTTCTCCCGAGAGACCCGCTAAACTAATGGTGCTTGAACGCTGGACATGTACAAAAGAGAGGTTGGTCCCGTCCTCCTCGCAAGGCATAATCTATCGTCTTCGTCAAGTCATTCCCGTACAGCAAACATGCGCAACATTTCCATTTACGCAATGGGCATCAAGCGCCGCTTGCCGGAAAGGTCACTGGGACAAAAGCTCCAAGCTCCAGCATGCTTCTTCCCGTGCCAGTTTCTGATCATCGCCTCGGCAACCCACGGAACGTCCGGGAAGTCGCATTTCTGACCGTCGATCAGGAATGACTTGTCCTGGCAACCGAGCGTCCACGGGGCGTCGGTGTACAGGCTGTTGTCCTTGGTCGCCAGGTGCTCGGCGTGCTTCCACACCTTCATGACTTCCTTCGGGTCGAGAACATGGAGGCTGACCAGCGTGGGGATTTCGTCATGAAGATGTTGGATGAGATCAGGGGCGAACGACTCGATGATGTGCCGAAACGTGACGCCATTGAACTCTGCGGGCTTGGTGACGAACACGTACTTTTGGAAGACGGCCAGCCCGTCGGCAAACGACTCGTGGCCCTTGGTGTTGGCTTCCATGGCGCCAGGTTGGCCTAGGAGCTTCTCCAGCGCTGGGAACATATAGTCATCCTCGACATGGTGATGGTGGTCCAGAGTCTTGAAGAGTTGCTGATTGAACAGAAGGAAATCGCTGGCTTCTTGCGTGTCGGGTTGTACCGATACAGCATGGTTCCACGAGGCGTTCAAGGCACGGGTGATGGTGTTGTGAATCTGGGCCATTTGACGAGCACACCAGAGCGCGGGATGGTTTTTGGGTACCGAGGCCGGCACCGACTCTGGGTGGATGGTGGTGATGAGAGGATAATGGTCATCGACATAGCGTGGCGACCGCATGCTGAGCTTGGATGTGTGTCCCGTGGAGACCGAGCTGACAGAGGAAGCAGCAGAGCGGTTTGAACGGACCGAGTTTGACGACCGAAGTGAAGATTCTGAAGCCTTTTCCATTCGAGAGGCGTAAAGCTGCCGTTCAGCCTCGGACAGATACAGAAGATGCGAGTATCTCGTCTGGCTGGGTGACTTGGGCCGAGAGAGCGGTGTTGAGGTGCTTTTGCCTGGGACGGGCTCTCTGATGATGGGAACCGCCTGCATTTTGTCGTATTCGTATCAGAAGAATATCCTCGGAATGTTTGCCCGTGCCAAGGTCAGGAAGTATTTGACAAGGTTTGGCGTTGCAGAAAAGCTGTTGAGAAACGTGGTAGAGAAGAATGCTCGCTGTTCTGATGGGAAGCCCTGTCCCGTGGAAGAGGGCCCCTCTCTGTTTATGTATCCTGTGGCCTTTCATCGCTCATGTCATGGCCAGAAATGGATACCATACCCTTGTCCATGCAGGAACCGGGAACGTGGATCTTTGGAACTGGTCGTTTGGGAAAACTTGGGACGGCTAGATTGCGGTAAGAGCCAGAGTGTAGCGAGCAGGGTAGCTCTGACAGACGCCAAAGAATGCGCAGAAGAGGCTAAGGAACGCCATGTCAGGCTGAGTCTGATCAGGTGGTGGGTGGGTGGGTGGCACCACTTCAGCCGGGTTTGCAAATGTCAAGCAAACTTCCTGTGCACCGTACGAGGTAACGGATGGTTGCAAAAGGACAAGCATCTCCAGTAGGGGCAGGGCTGGAGAGCTTGCGTGCACAGTAATTAGTGAGTGGTCAGTTGACACCGTGATGGAACCCGCTGTCCTCCTCTTGCGGTTTAGCTTCAGGTACGTCGCAAGGGTCGACACCGAAAAAGGAGTCGTACGCGAGCCTCAGGCGACAGCGAAGCGAAGGTTCACACCAGAAGGATACCCAAGAGTTTGTCATTCTTCGCCAGGCGGTCCAGTCCAGGACTCCACGAGGTATTGACAGCTGTGCAGCCTCGGCTGGGTACTGTCTGCATCCGCAATATTGGCTTTCGGGCGCTGGCAATCAAATGAAGCAGGGGAGAGGAACGGCCGTGTTGGCAATTGTCGACCGTGTCCGATTGTACGTCAAGAGCCGTGGTCTGGAAAACGCCGGCACATAGCAACGATTCTTCAGCTGTTCATGACCATCTCTTCTCTCGGCCGTACTTGGCAATTGGCTGGATCATGAGACCCGAGGAGAGGGCACCTCGGGTCCATAAGGTAACGATAGTAGCGTGATAGGCGCAGTTCGATCTGTGGAGGATTGGCGCAGAGTGATTGGCGCTGGCGTGGCTGGTTGAGGATGGGGAGAAGACCCTCTCTGCGTCCTTGGCGACATCTTGCGGCGCACGTACTGGGTACTTGTGTACGGCATACGTATGAGGTATGATCGGCCCATCCGACATGCAGACCTGTGCATGTCTTTGTTTGGCGCCGCGAGGTTGCACCCTGCTTCTCGGGAAACCTTTTCTGTACCGCATCGTTGCGACTCTTGTTTGCTACGAGTATGACCCGTATCGAAGGCCAGGCGGCGGCCCGAACAATGACAAACAACTCATACTTCGGGGCATGTCATGGCAAGGCGTCATGCCCTGGCTGGACGACCGGTGGGGACAATTTGAACGATGCTGAGCGGCCAGTCACCCGGTGGCTTCAAATAGTGGGCAATTTCTGGCATGGGCTGGCTGATTTCGGTCGACCGTCGCCATTCTAAAACGCAGGCTTGTGCAACCTCGAGTCTAGAACTACCATGCTGGGAGTCGGCGTCGGGGAGACGTGTCAGCGGTTGACAAACCGTGGTTCGAATCTTGGATCGAAAAACACTAAACAATCGAGAGAGACTTCAGATTGCCGTCATCAAACTTTGAATAAGCTGACTGCGCTGAACGACGTTCGCGTACCTTGCAGGGAACTGAAGTTTAGGAGCCGCGTGGAAAGCTGGGGGCAGCCCGGGCAGCGCTTGACGGGCTTAGTTCCGGGTGCAGCGGCGCTACCATTGGCCCTAAGATTGGCCCTGGGGAGCCTGGGGAGCCTGATGCGGTGCCTAACGCGCCGCTCCGGGCGCTGGCAAGTCCAGTTTGCAGATCCTGCGGTTCCATCCGCGTCTCCTCCCTCATCACGAGGTACAATACCTAATTACATCTTGCTGCTTACAGTTTGATGATTTTTGTGATCGACACAGTAGCAATCAATCGTTCAGCTGGCATCGTAAGGGACTTGACTGCACATGATCAGAATCTAGTAGGTACTCGAGAAGTCGTTCGGATGAATGGCACCCCCTAATCACGCACGCGAGGCGCATACGGGAACGGGTAATAACTTTGTGAAACCTCTCTGGTTCTGGCTGTTCGCAGCAGCAATCATGACGGGTGTCATCCGATGGCTCGTCGAACCTTGTGGGAGTCGGCGTAGGGCTGGACATCTGCCATCAGCTGACTGCCCCTGCAGCAAAGGCAAACACCTGAAGCATCGTTTGACAAGGGACGGAGATGTAGGAGAAATTCTGTGAAGCAGTACGCCCGTCCTCCGTATTCGTCCACTTCTATGAGCGTGTTTCTCGAGTTACCGTAGTTTCCAAGACGACCGTGCGAGGCCGTAAATGAATGAGACGAGTGAGTCAGAGTCCGAAACATGCGTCGATGGTGTCGCAGCCCACGGACAGACTCGAGCACCACCCCCCCTCCCTCCCTCCCAGCCACCCACTGCCACTTCAATGATCTCACCGCACCCACCGCCCTCCGTATCGTCCCCAGACTTCCTGACCACCCGAGCAGCTATGTATAACCACTACCTGCATGGTAGGTATGAGTGTACACTGTAGCATCCTTGGGGACTCAGGGCTCGGTCCTACAGCAAGACTCCTTTGGTCGGCCCTGGTGATAAAGGAGCTCATGTCACCACCACGAGTCATGGACGTGGCCAGCCAGCCAACTGAGCCGCTGTCACGTTTCAACCAGGTCGAACGCTGGAACTCCGAGCCGAGGAGGTCTTCTTCCAAGCTTCAAAGTCACCTGGAGTCTGAGTTTTTGGCGACACGATGCGAAGTTCGAGAACTTCTACGGGGTACGTCCCTCGTATGGAGTACGAAGTTACATGCAGGACCAAGAACATGCATTGTTCGATTGGACGAGTGGTCGTGACGCCGGTCCGGTTCTGGAAGGCCTTGCCACAGCCAAGCAGTTGTGACATGCGTCAAAAGGACACCACGTATGTCGCCGTAGCGACATTGAGTTCATCCCCTCCTGGTAACCGAAGCTCTTGACTCCAGTTCACATTCGCCAGCCCCAAATCTCGAGGATCGCCAGGTCCGCAGGTCTCCATCCGGCGGGTCAAGTTCTCGACAGTGCTAGAACGAGCCAAACTTCACATCATCCCCACCGCTGGGATGATCGTCGAGTGTCGGCTCCTGTCAATTGAGCTTCCACGCTGCATGCTGAACATGTCCAGGGGGAGAACGTGGTCACGGTAGACCGACGTGGGTTTCACGTGCTTCCATGACAACGGTATCCCGGCCTTTGCTGACGATGGTGACGAAAGGAGCTCGATGTGTTTGAATCTCTCGGACACAGCCGTGTCCAGTGGTTAGGGTACTTTGCCCATCCCTGCAACGATGTCCGATCGCTGCCTTTCAGCACAAAGTGCATTGCAGGTACGTCGTCGTCAGGAGAGGCGCACATCCCCCATACCTGCAGGGGTTCGGCTGCGTCCCACGTGTTTCGATTCACGAGGTCCCGGTCCTCATGTACGACACGCGTCTTGCACGAAAGCTTGTTCGACATCTGGCCGTCTGCGCAGTGTCGTGTTCCACGGCACAGACAGCCCAGACATAAGACGCAGGGGGGAGGCGCTGGATCAAGTCGAGCAACTAAACTTCGCAGCAGCCGGATGTGATTGTTGAGTCGCTCCACCGTTGGATGACCACCTAGATTGTGAACAGGGGTCGGTGGATCTTAGAGCTTCTCGACCGGAAGACTGAAGACTGAAGATTGAAGAATAATTGTCGCCTAAGGGGAATGTTGTTCGCCCACCGACCGAGCCACGGGCGCAGCCATGGGTCCATCAATGGTCAATGGCAGAAAATCTCGATGGGCGGAGAGGTGGGAGATAGTGACAAGGCTGGTAAGAGATATAGCTGGAAGTGCTGGTTGCGAATGTTAGGTGAGATATGACTATAGGAGATGAAGCCTCTGCAGTCGTTATTTCGGGATGTGTCTCGAGCACAAATCTAGAGGATCACGTCCCTGCCAGAAGTCATGTCAACAGTCACCATAATCGCCAGGGCTCTGATAGAGTTGCATCCTTGGTTCTTCCGACGACACTTGGCTTGAGGTTCTGCTCCAGCTGAAGCAGTGTCACCAGGCTCAAGTGCGTAAATTTACTGGAGAGTGTACGGAGGTGTTCTACTTGACACAGCGATTCAACTTCGCCCTGCTCACGCCATGAGAGTACCACCATTGACTTGTAGAACCTGACCCGTAATCCATCTGGCTCTCTCTTCGCAGAAGAATGCCACGGCATAGGCAATTTCTTCAGTTTCGCCAATCCGCGACGCCGCAGGAGTCATCGCTAGCATGGGTTCGAGGCTGTCACGAGTGTCTCCGGTGAGCGCGTTGAAAGCATCCGTGTTCGTCGCTCCCGGCGCGACTGCATTGACGGTGCATTCGTACTCACGGCCAAGTTCCCTAGCGAGCGTGCGTGGGATCTCGTCAGTCCCAAGGCATGGAAGAAGCAAAGGCGTAGAGACTGCAAGTACTCACACTGCCCAGCATCTCGTGAAGCTCTCGATCATGCTCTTCGTCCCATTGTAGATACTCGTCCCTGGATACGGCTGCCTCGCGCCGCCTGAGCTCAGATTGACGATCCTGCTCGGCTTGGCCAGATGTGGCAGTACAGCTTGCGTGGTCAACAATGTCCCACGGCCATTCAAGTGGACTTGAAACTCCCATTGATCGATGGTGACGTCCTTTAGGAATTGGGGACTGGCCCTCCCGGCATTGTTTACCAGAATGTCGATTTTGCGGCCGTTGATCTGCTTGACTGCCTCTTCGACGAGATGGGTTGGTCCTTCGACAGTTGCCAGGTCCGACTCTATCGCGAAGGCCTCCTTGGCATGACTTCCGCCCGTGGCGCGAATCTTGGCGAGAGTCGACTCGGCCTCCGGTTTTAGAGAAGCAAACGGATAGTTCGTGACCACCAGTGCGCCCCTAAAGCAAGTGGACAATCAGTTTCCTTGCTGCACACGAGACGCAGGATCCGCAGCGTATCGCACCTGGAAGCAAGTTCAATCGCGACAGCCGCACCAATGCCTTTCGAACTCCCGGTGACCAGGGCGACTTTACCGTCGAGAGTCTGAGGTTTTTGCGCCATGGAGGACTTTGTTCGGTTGCGGTGTTCGAGGAGTACTACTGAGGGCTCTATCGTTCAGAGTAAGTAGGTCTCGGGTAGTACAACTTGGTGCATCCCTTGCAGCTTGTACTAGACCTGTCGACATGGACGGACATCAGGATCCCTGCTTCCTTCTCAGATGGTCGTGGCTATCGCATCTCGACCTTTGGCACCAACAACGTCAAGTCGGACCCTGGACATTGCACAAGCCAAGCCAAGCCACCGGAGACTGATACTTCGCCATCTATCACAATCCCGTATGCGGGCAGATCAAGCCAGGCTTTCTGAAGGCCGGTGTGACAGGCTCGGACCGTGCAAGGATGCGGGCGGCTCTGCATGAGAACAAACCGAAGGAGGAGTTCGGACCAATGGCACCTCAACACGACAAACGTGCATGCAGGTGGAATGCCTCGCTTGTGCAGACAATAGCATAGTTTGAGGATCGGCCGTGATGAGGGTACGAGGATGGAGAAAAGAGCTGACAAGAGAGGACTGTTAGTGAGGTTGAATCGTGGGTGCGTAGATAGATACTATAGAGGTGCCTAGGAAACGCTTAAGAAGCCCCGGTACAGCCCGAGTGGCCGAGTCCTGCAGCCCAAGAGGCCATTTTGCGGGCGGAGGTGAATTCCCCGGGCGGATGCTGTGCACGCCAAAGTCTGTTCGTTCTACCCAACTTGAGCCTCCCGGGTTGGCGCGTTATAAGACACCGCGACCGTGACCGTGACCGTGACAGCCATGGATGCTGTAGTCAGTTATACTGAGCCGAACCGCAGCAGGAGAGCTTGCAGCGCTGTTCAGATAGGTTCATCTCGCCCCTGTCGTTTTCGGTTTGTCGCGTCTGCTTGTACCTCTCATACTTGACCTGCTTTGCCCTGTCTCGAGGACGGAATCTGCCAAGTTGAGCAGGTACTTCCTTTGCCTTGAAATCCAACCGGAATCTGAACACCGACATCCAATACCTACTGGTAGGCACACTTGGCTCGAAGAGATCTCCGGCCAGGCACGCTTTGATACTGTAGCGGTGGGTGTCCTTACCGTGTACAGATTGCTTGCTTTACCTACCAAGGTACCTAGGTACCCCGTAGTGCCCGTACTGGAACCTTGACCGTATGTGCCTGCGCGCTCACACGCCTTCAAACAACGCAACGGCTGCCAAGCTAGGTATTAATCCAGAACTACTGCCAGTGATACTGTTACTCGTACTGTGTACCTGCCGCGTTCCCGGCAAGTTGCTTGCTTCGCGGCCGTCTCCTCGTAGCTACATATATGCAAGATCCCGGACCACATCATAGCAACCGCAAGATTCGAGATACTCGTTGTGCGACTTCCAAATCATGTAGCCCTGCTGATGTGTTAATTCTACTTCCCATTCCCAGTTCCATGGCCATTCCCACTCCCACTCCCACTCCCATTCCCGTTACCATTACCGCTACCATTACCATTCTTCCCCTTACCATTCCCAGTTGTCATCCTCTCCCCTTGGGCCAAGGCATCTTTGCACTCGTTGCAATACCACTTGGCGCTCTTCGGCACACTCTTCAAGCCGATACAATCCAGATGGAACCATTGCCGAGGACAGATATCCCGATCACACGCCACCATCTCCCCGTAGCTGACGCCTTGGCAGTAACAGTATCGCTCCTCGTCTTCCTCTGGTGCGTCCTTTTCACCTTCCTCGTCATCTGCCATCTCAACATGGAGGTCGTTGATTGTGTGGTTGGCGGGCGCGAGGACGTCACGCTCTGAAGGGGTCGACGACTTGGTTCGTGGCTCTGCCTCGTCTCGAACTCGTTGAGTGGTGCTCGCGTTGCTCGTTGTGGAAGGAAAAGATAGACTACCACTCTTCTTGTGCGGTCGTTTCATCGGCAGGCCCTTTGGTGACAGGGAATCATGGAGGCCATGGTCCTTGACCCGACTTCGGGGCGGTCGCTTGGGCTTCGTGGATGCGCTTACACTGCCGTTCGCCGACGCGGTCTCGGCGGCTTCAGCATCGGCAAACGTGGCGACGACGGGCGTGGACGTTTTCGAGGCTCTACCCCTCGCAGTACGCTCGGTCTTGAGCTCGCTGGTCTGTAAGGCCGGCAGACGCGGCGACGCAACCGCCTTTGCCGAAACTTCCTCCCGAGGCTCGACTTTGGCTGTCCCTTGCCTGCTGTACGATCTTTCCACGGGTGGGGCCCCTTTCAGTTCATGGTCAACCTTGGCACCATTGACGGTTGATGGCTCGTCATCGACGACCGGAACAGCCTTGTCGGCTTTCGCCTCTCTCGTGTTGCTCTTGACCTCACTCGCAGCCCTGCTTGGTGCTGCGCCGACATTGGTCACTTCCGTATTGCTTACTGTCAAGTTGTTGCTATTGCCATTTCTATTGGATGCCAGGGACGACGGTCGGCCTCCTTTTACGCTCTCGACCGTGTTCGTGGAATTTTGACGTCCTCGGGACAAGGCTGGCCGGACGGTGGAAAGGGCTGGGCTTCTCTTGTAAGGTTCTTTTCCAGCAGTCCCTGCAAGTGGGGACGACGTAAGCTTCGGCGAGTCTTGAGTGGCCGCGTTGATTCTGTTACGCAGAAGATTAGCATCATCCCTCTGCATCCCGTGTAGCACGTACCGTTTCCTGGCCACTGACATAGCAGTCGCCGAAACTTTTCTCTTCTTTGAGTTGTCCTGCTGCGAACTTTCTCTAGACATTGGCCGACCCCCGAGAGCACTGCTGATGGAGCGCTCCATAGCCGCACTTCCAACGGCAGGCTTCTCTGGTTTCTTCCTCTTTGCTGTGGTGATGCCAGCACCAGCACCAGAGATGCCGAGACCAGCGGGATCGGGGGCAGCCTCGGCTGCGCGCTTCTTGCCGTTCGTGGTTGTCTTCCGTACCGGAAGTCTCGAATCGTCCAAGTCGGAATCCACGTGGTGGGCAGCTGCTCGTTGTCTCCTGACAGCCTCCCTTCTATCATGACTCCTATGTGCCACTTCGCTCTCATGTAGGGTGGGCGCAACTGCCCCGGCGGCGGCGTCTCTGCGGGTAGGTGGGGGCGGCACCTTTTTAGTAGGGTTTGTCTCTGTATAGGCCCAATGCTTCAGACTGCCCAACCTTGCTTCTTCTGAGATCTCCTCGGCGATGTGTGGCCAGATGCGGTCGAGTCTCCGGATCTGCCTGCCCATCTCCTCGCTTGCATTGTTGATGACATGATTTTTTTCATCCATGGTCACCATGACGGCCATGAGACTTTGCCTCAGAGCGTGGTATTTCCGCCTGCGCTGGACAACGGCGGGATCGGAGAAGTGGGCAGAGGCGAGGGAGGCATTGTCGAACGAGGCGCCGGCGACACTATTCGCCTCACTATTGTTTATGGAATCATCCGCGGTAGTCGAGCTGTTTAGACTCTGAGCTGCACCGGCGAGATCTCGCGTCGTAGTTGCGCTATCGGCGAGGCACTGATCGAGGGCAAGTTGTAGATTCTCCTCGGGACCCCACGCTTTGGCGTCCACCTCTTTCAACAGAGAAGTGTGTCGGCGGTATTCGCGAGGCAGGGCGGCAATCGCATCGGAGAAGTGAGTGATGGCCGGGTACATGCCCACGGGCTCGTTGTTTGTCAGGCTCTGCGAGGCGATGCCATTCGATGAGAGGGCTAGAGGAAGGCCGCTGTTGGAGACGAGCGAGTTCTGGCGCAGGCTGGCGGATCCGAGTCCCTTGGAGGCTCGTGCTGGGTTGGTGCGGGTGAGGCGAGACGGACCTCCTCGCACATTTGAGGTGCCCAGGACGGTGGTGGTCATTGTCGTTGTGGACATATGGAGACTTGGTGGGAAGAGGAGGACGATGAGGGAGCTGTGGGCGTGCAATCAATCCGTGGAGGCGGGCAGGGAGGTCGCAGTGAATTTTCACGGCATCGGCTCCCTTGAAATCCAAGAAAATTATGGCAGCAGACAGAAGGTGCTTATCCGCCTCGGTCACATCATGGACAGCAAGAAGAGAGATGTGGTGAATGAGGCCGTGGTGGAAGGAAAACGAGAGAGTCAACTGCGACGCTGGTCTGCAGCGCGCACAACTTACCTCACTCACACCTCACTCACACTTCACCAGAACCTGACGACTGGAACTGGAACCCGAGCCGGAAAGAACCCTGTCACTTCTGGTGCTTCTCCGGCGGCTGATTGGTGACGTGGCTGCGTTTCGTCCCGCTCCTGCTTGAGCGCTTTTGGCAGGTTAGCCGCCCACTGATACCAAGCCACACACAGCCTTTCTGCCTCCCACGAAGCGATCACGGGATGTTCGCGAAATCTCGTGCAACATTGTGTCTCATTCCAGTAGAAAGCTCTATACGCCTACGCCTAATCCTGAGTCTGAATCAAATACCCCATCGTGACCCTGCCTGCTGGCTCAACTGACGCTTCTGTCCCAAGGACTAAAGATAAAAAGTCGTTACACTCGTCTAACCAGCCATCCAGAATGCAATCGGGTCGCCCAAGTTCTCACATTCAGAGCCAACCGTCATCGGGGTGCGCAAGCTGCCCTTGTCCTGCACCAATGTCCAAAGCGAGTTGTGGGACTTCTTCTGCCTTTCTCTTGACCGGGCTCTTTCGTGGACTTGCGGCTTCTCTGGGAGGTCCGGCTCGGACATCTTCCACAGGCCATCCGTCTGCTTTGGCGGCTGAAACCCAGCACTTCAGGCCCTCGTGGACACCTCCGTAGAACTTCTCCTTGCAAGTCCGCAAACTGCCACCCATCACCTTCTCGAATCCAGATTGCTTCAGATCCTCCCGGAGGGCATTGCGATCGGCTGCGGTAGGCATGCAAGCGATAAGACCATTCAACAGGTCAAGGTGGACCGCCAGATACTGCGTCGCCTCCCATTCGACTCCGCCCACGTAAGGGGCGGCTGGATGGGGTGGTCGCGGAGCGGGAAAGTGTGCCCGCCTGTATCCCGTAGACTCGTCCACGTGGATGATCGGCACGACATTGAGATGGTGCAGGAATATCCAGAAAACTTCCTTGGTGACATTAACAACCTCCTTGCACCACACTCGGTATGGTCGGGGTGTGTGCATCTGAGAGACAAAATCCAGTGTCTGCTTGCCTTCCTCCGGCGCCGGGTCTTTGAGAAAGTGTAGAATCGTCCTTGCCCGCGTTCCAGCTTGTTCTTGATCTGTGCCATCCACTGCTGATAGGTGTGCGAATAGAAGGGATATTATGACTCCTCGGGTGCTAAACTCGGACGGACCTTTTCTCTCCGGATCGAACAGCATACCCAAAAGAGCAGGGAAAAATTCCATTTCGACCTGCTGTAGCCGGTGCAGGGCAAGAGACGTCGTGCACAATCCCTTCAGACACAGCAAGGTCTCGTGAAGAAGATTGTCCTCGTGCTCTTCACGCCACTCAATCTTTCCAATGCGATAGTATAACTGGACGAGCTCATCCATGCCGCCCTTGCTGACGAAGTGATCCGTCCAACTGATCGACTCATTTCTCAACAGAATTCTCAACTTGTGGAGCTTGCTGACTTCGACGAGCTGGGGCTTCTGCACTTCTCGCAGGTAATGGATGAAATCCCCCGGGGCTGCGGCGCTGTCTGCTGGATTCAGTGATGCCAGTGACACGGTCGAAGCCATGGCCTTCAATGAAGTGGGCCTGGAGCTGGTCAAGTCCGCGGATTTGTTCCTCGACTTGCTACGCGAGCGGGACGACGATCTCGGGCGGTCGGGCTTGTCTGGTGTGTCTTCGTCGCGTTTGCTCAAGGTCAAGATGCGGCTTCTCGGACGTGACTGTGAACGTGACCGCTTGCGATCTTTGCTGTCATCACCCTCGCTTTTCGGCCTGTCGTTCTCGTTTCGGTGAGAGTTCCTAGCTGAGGACCTGACCTCTGATACTTCACTAGCACCCGAGGCTGCTGAAGAGCCACTGCCGATGCGTTCACCTTTCATGAGTCCCGCCTTGACGTCCGGCTTGAGATTTCGCATGCCATCACGCATGTTGAGGGGAATGTTTAGAGAATCTAATACGCGCTCAAAGGCCGAGTCGAGTTCTTGTGGACTTAACGGCGGGCTCGTGCTGGTGCGGGGTTCTGGCACCGAGCGAGCGTTGTTTCGGGTCTTCATGTTGAGGCTTTGAATGACTTGAAGGACCCTCGAGCCTCGCTTGACTTTGTCCGGTTGCGAGGAGTCGGAGTTTTGGGTCTGCAAGCAAGGGCGGACATCAGGTGTGGAGGCAGACGGCGGCTGAGTGGTGTGGTGGTCTCTGCTCTTTGGTCGTTTGGGCTCATCCTCAGCATTGTCCGGGATGTTTTCTTTGAAGATGGAGCTTCTACTAGATTTGTGTTGCAGGAATGGCCGCTGTGGAGGCTTGTGGTCTAACGACCACGGTGTCGTAGGGCCGTAACCGTAGAAATTCCGCTGTTCTGATGGTCGAAATTCCGAACAATCTCTGGGTGTGTACAGATTGCACTCCTCCTCGACTGCCTGTCTCTTCGACCTGGGATACATGGTGATGGATGCCGTCTGTAGTTTCCAATGGTATGGCTGAGTCGCAAATTCGGGCCCAAACATGAATTGGAAGTCGCACAGCGGGAGGATTGTTGCTATGGCAACACCAAGTGCTTAACTTGGTTAGTGCTCCCCACACCTGCCACCTGCCTGCACTTCATCCTCGCTTAATCCTCGCTTCATTCTCGCTTCATTCTCGCTTTATCCTGATTTCTCCCCGCTCCGTCTTCACTTTGTTCTGAGGAGCAAGGATGGATCAGAATCAGGGAGATAGGCTCCCAGATTTCAACCTGATTCCTACTGAAAACCAGAAATGTAGCCAAATCCCTGCGGTTGGTCAGGCCCATTGGCTTTTGGACAGACTCGATATGATCAGTCAAAACCTCAACACGCTCAGCAAATAGACTCGACCAGCATTCCAACAACATCACGCAACGCCTCGATGCAATTGATACCAAGGTCGACAGACTCAGCCAGCGGGTCGACAGCGTTGATGTACGAATGGATTCCGAGTATGTTACCGAGTATTCTGTTCATCATTCGTCATCCTGTACCTGGTCCTAATCAATACTAATTAGCCGCCACAACAACTGGGCACGCCTCCAGAACGCGAAAATCACCTCTCTTCATGCCAACCTCGTCCCCCTCCATGATCGGAACAACCAACCCATTGACGGATTTCCGATGAACATGGTGGCGATTGATGCACTCAGACTACACGAACTAGGAAGAATTCTCTAGGCTCTGGGCTCCGACATTGAAGGAAGAAGCTCGCAAGAGAAAACCACTGCACTCCGTATTGCGGTTGGGCTTGGTGTCGTCTGAATGCCCGGTGATGGAGGACTGTTGACAATTCCTACCAGTCATAATGTACTCATACTATGCATACAAAGCGTCTTCTTGACGACCCCAGTGAGCTAGTCATGCAACCCAGGCTGCTGTAGCTTCCTCGTGAACAACAAGCGGCTTGTGTTTAGACCGTAGCCAATAAGTGAGACCAAAAGAGAAATCTGTTTCCAATCATTTCACTGTGCAATACTCTGCCGCCAACGATCGATATGCGCTCGTTGCTTGGGATCCAAAGGCGGGCCCATCATCGGGTCAGCTATGTATGGTGGATTGCCGTATGCGTATGGATATGTCGGCTGCAAGTATGCCGGCAAGGGAGCGCCAAACCCAGCATTCATGTACGGCATGTTGTTCGGGTAGGCGTAGGAGGCGTTGAAAGCACCGTTTGGCTGAGAAGAACCCCAGATTGTGGTGTAAGTTGGGTTGTGGACTTGGGTCGAGCTGGGGTGAGGCAATCCAGCTGGCCTTGGCTGTTCTCGAACACCCACTGGATGGGCCTGCAAAATATCGGCCATGCTATGCATGGATCTGAGCCGTGGATCTCCGGCACCCCCCTCTTTGAGCCTCTTCCTCCGTTCGGCCAGTGTCTCTTCTACATCCGGAGTCTTCGACGGCGATGGACCGTCGTTCTTGATGCTGATGCCAAGCTGGGACGCCACCTCGTCTGCGAAGTGACCACCGGTGCCTTTCTCCTTTTCCAGCTTGATCCTCGCGGCTCGTTGTGCCAGAGTCTCTTCTTCGTCTTCGGGAAGTGGCTCTTCCGATAAGCCAGGTACCTCACCAAGGACCGGTGGCCGACTCTCCTCGCCGACTTGGCTCTTGGTCTCGGACTTCGCGGATTGGGGCGGCTCGCCCCTCAGCCTTGCCCTTCGATGACTCAAAGGTTCATTGTCCTCCATCTCTCGCTTCTCCATGAGCCCGACCGGCCGATGAGCATTGAGGTGATCAGTCCTATCTTTTCCCGGGAAAAGAACACCGAGGGGGATGTCGTCGTCATCAAAGTTCTGCTTGTCTGCCTCATCATGGTCTTCCCAAGCGAGGGTGACATGTTTGGTTTTCCGAGCCTTCTGCTGGAGTTGAGTGACGGCGTCGAGCTCGAGCAAGGTCGAGTGCATGCCATTGGGGAACGCATCTGCCGCAGTACGGTTTCGTAACTTTTGCTGTTCTTTGCGCATTTGCAATTCAGCGAGTAGAGTCGTTGGGGCTGTAGAGAACCCTGGCGGAGCCACATCCTTGTCCTCTTCGTCATCCGGTATTTCGTCGGCATCAGGTGAGATTGATTCTGCTGCTGCCCTTTCAAGTTCATCTCCACTTGTATGGTCCTCAGCATCCAGATTCTGAGAGCCCCTGGACTTTGAACGCGTCAGACCCGCAGCAGAAAGACCAGTACTGGACCGCCTCGTCTTGAGCATTGTGCTGATGGAGCTCCGACGTTTCTTCGCTTTAACACCATCCAACTGCATACTCTTCCGTGGCGAGGCATCCGGACCGTAGACCTCCTTGCCAACTTGGCCGGCTATGGGGTGGTCAGTAAATGCAGAGACGGGCGCGTATGCCGCGGCATCCAAGATGCTGTCCAGCGTTTGGACGGCTGAGCCGTTCTTCAGCTGCAAGTCTTTGGTCACGCTCGGCTGGTCAAAGAAGGCACTCGCACGTAGTTGAGGAGGTAGCTTGAGCGCAGTATTTGGACCCGGCAATTTGGCAAGATCTTGATCACCCAGCCAGGCCGCCGACTTGCGAAAGTCGTCCGGGACCGTACTCAGAGCCTGGAGTCGGCGCTTTTCACGCTCACTGATATCCATCCTCGACAACCTCTGAGGCAGATTGAGCATAACAGGCACCGGTGCAGGATAGTAGATCATCCGCTCTCCCGGTTGTGGTTCTCTATACGCCTTGGAATCTCGTGCAAGAGGTGGATGACTCAGGGAAATCTGACGTGCAAGGGACGCAGCTGCGTCGATCGACATTGACCCATTGTAATGTACACCATCAAAGTTCTCAAACGCAGATTGCGCTTGACGGTAGGTGTCATTCGAAGCAGAAGTGTGCGGCCTGTCCTCGTGCGTAGAGTTATGAGAATGCCTCGGCGATGCCTCTGGCGCGGCGACCTCGTCTTCGGGGTAGACGGAGACGGACAAACGGCGATCTGGGTGTAGGTCTAGTGGGCGACCTTCGACAGGTGGTTCGGGTAGAGGGTGACTGCGACGACTGTCTTGGGAGGAACGTCTTTCGACAAGCTGAGGTGGTGACCACGGCCCCGAGCGTATCGAGCCGGTGGGAGAGGTGATATATCCCGAGGGAGAGTATCCCCCCGCCCTGGCTGCGTGATTGACGCCCAATATCGAGTTGGACCACGAACCCGTTGAGTATTGTCTCTGGACCGAAGGACGGTAGATGTTGTCCAGAGCAGGGGGAGCCGAGGACTGGCGATCGAGGCGCTTTTGATCCTGCTTCATCTTGTTCAGCTCATCCTCCAGGCTCGAGGTCATGCTCAGACGCTCGGCGCTTTCTTCCAACCGTTCCACATTTTTGACGAGTGCCCCTTGCAGCGACTGTGCATCGGGTGTAGGGTGATTCAGAGGCAGGTGACGGCTGATCGAAGCCGTTCTGATTGGAGCGTCGGCGGGCTGAAATGGTGCCGGTTCTGGCACCGGCGAAGGACCATCCATCCTGACCTGTTGTTCTGGGTACTGTGGCATGGGCTCCTCATAGTCATCGGCCTCGACCATCTGATACGACTGCGACGATGACAACGACTTGAGCAAAGATCCCACGCCTATTGAGCCTGACCCAGCCTGCGACAATATCGGAAGGTCGCCATCTCGGGAGGACAAGTCGAAGGGAAGGGACAAAGGCGGGCTTGATATTTCGGGAAGAATGGGCGACCGGGAGGAGGAAGCCGCTGAACGTGCATGAAGGTCGGCGGAATCGGCAGGTACAGGCTCGTAAACAGCGCCATGCTCAGCCTGGGCGACTGAGGCATAGGCCATGGGGAGCTGCTGACGAAGAGTGCCGCGCAAGAGGAGGATCGCGTGAGATGGAGGAGGTCTCGTACCGCAGGTGGAGGTGTGCTTGTCGAACGGGATCCCTACACGTCTGAGGGCGGAAAGTCGCTGGAGGTCATGATCGGAGCCGTGTTGATCAGATAGTTCCTGCGCCAGATACAGTGGCACTGATCGAGCAGGGGAGAGATGTCGTGCGGAGCGAAACCGTCACACCCACCTATCCGTACGCGGCGAGATATCGAACACTGCAAGATTTCTAGTCTAGCCACAGATAACAGCACAACTTGATCGCTTCAGGCTGCCCTGTCGCCCGTGGGAGGGCGCAGTTGGCGTCGCCCGGGTAAGCAAAGACCGGCCATTTAGTGGGTACTGGGCCCTTGGGGGGGCGCCGAAAAGTGGAATCTGCCGCATGGCAAGGCTAAGATTAGGGCACAGCTAGGACTGTTTCGGGGCTCTTCTTTAACTAATCGCAACGCCAATCAGAGCCACACCGACACCCCGGGCGTGAAGGCCAGTTGAAACAAGGCGGCGTCCCGGCGACATGGCTTTTTGCCTGCTGAAGTGAAGACCTCGGGTGACTTTTCCATCTGCCAAGCAAAGCTACAGTACCGTGATTTTTCCGTGGTCTTAACTCCCCGGAGGCTTTCTGATCTCCAGCTGATAGACCATGTACGAGTCCCGGAGCACGACTACGGAGTCCGCGTTGCAAGGCAGACAGCAGCACTGCCAGGTGTGTCTGGGACCGAAGGGCTCCTCCCTCACGGATATATCATACTGGGTACTGTAGATAAGCCACGGCTTGGTGTCTACGGGTCCCTGGAAGAGAGCATTCGGTGTCTTGTGCCAGGTCAACCCCTTCAAGCCACTGCGCGGAGGATACGAGTTACACCACAGATGCGACAGGCACACCAATCACCTCGCCTCTACCGTCCATCTCGGCCCCTGTCCCGCGATGTTGGTGCTGACCCGATGTACTCGTACGTCCCCACCCCGTTATGTATGCACGCCGACAAGAATCCTCCTGCCTTCTGTATTTGGAGCCAACTACAGTATTCTCGAGGGTCGATCATATCACCGGCCGCAAAGTCTTCGCACTCGGTCTCGGAATGGTACAACCTTGTCCCAGACGCGTCCTCGTGCAGTAGCACCTCTGACATTTCATGCGCGATCGTTGGGTCACACAGTCCAGATGCACGCGTACTCCGTCCATGGCGCTACACACACGGCTGCAGATTAAGATTGATTCTGGCATCTCGTCCAGGGTCCTGCCCTGCCCGGCCTATCTACGAGAACTGTGTAACTCACAGCTATCACCATTGAAATTAACCAGACGTTCACCGCACCTTGGTCTCAGCCTCTATCAGCGACCAGCCACTCACTTCAAGCCAGCCCCAAGATAACAACGCTCATGCCGAACCCGAATTGAGAGATCGACGTGCGGGGCGGATGAAGGTTATTCCTTCGCCCAATGTTCTCTGTAACTCGTACAGTACGGAGTACGGAGAAGATGAGCCCCCACTGCCTCTTGCAGTAAACACCAATGCGACCGAACGGATTGTCTGTCCCATCTGCTTTAGATAGAAGGAGGTTCATCGATTAGCTGCTAGCACAGTGCTAGAATCCTCGCTACATACACTGTAGTTAACAAAGGCGCCGTCTACTGACGAGCCAGAAGATGTATACATATATCCAACCCTACGCCTTCCACCTCACGCCTTAGCACTGGTGATGGGTCCGAATGCGTACTAAGTTGGCCGCCCTCACACGCCGCCTCGATGGATTTTCCTCCCGCCTGCGGATCCGCTGAGTGTTGACTGTCTACAGACTACCCGCTGTGATTCCGTAGTAGTACAGTCAGGCACCGTGTACAGGGTGGTAGGGTACAAGGCTGGCCGACAATAAACAACGTCAATGTCAAAGATAAGAATGGCATCAGGATTCAGGATTCAGGACGGGCCCGAGATATAGAGTACACAGTACGTACCTGTACGGAGTACCTAGGTACTTACAAATATAGAAGCCGTTGGGACGATTACATACCTAGTGACAAGTGCCATCCGCATCAAGCCATTCGGTAAGTACTAGGTACTGTGGAAGAATCACGGGATTCGTCCAGCCTTGTTGCGAACCCTCGCACTCGTGCGGTATCGGTATCTCTCTCAGCCTCAGCCGCAGGATTCGAAGGACCGGGACTTGGGATCCTTCCTACCGGTCAACCACACATCCCCGGTCCCGGCGCTTGACTGTACTCGTACTCGTATGGACCGAGTATGACTGATCCCGCGCTCTAAACAAGTGGGTCAAGGTGCTTCCCTCTACTGCACGTAAGCAAGCAATGCATGCCACAGTAGTCGTACTGGGTACGTGCCCAGTCTCGCAGTACTGTGTACATATCAGCATTCCATCCCTAGCCGGCTCGGGGTTTCTCTGTGCTCTGTCCCCTGTGACCTGCAATCCGTACGGAGTACTGTTTACGTGTCGGTCCACATATGTGATTATGTATTCCCGCAAGTATTCCAAATTAGCCATGGCAGACGGAGGATGGCGTATCGTGCTGGACCATTGCTACTATGCCGTGACCGAGTGCCACTCGCAAACGGGACGTGATCGGCCAGGTGAGCAAGATATCCATCCTCGTCACAGGCGGGGCAGACTTTGGACCAAACGTCGTCCCGTTTGAAACTGTATCTGAATTTCATGATTTTTCTTTTCGTGAGTCCATTCTGTTGGGATCCAGGTACGCGGCACATATCTCACTTGCGTGCGTCCCAACTCAATTCAGTTTGAGATGCGACAAGGAGTACTCCGTGTATCTTTCACATGGGCGCGCTCCTTTGACCTCTCGGCGTCGTCCCTGGCAGGCACGTCGCCTGTACCAAACGTGCACTTGATCCCCGGGCTTGACAGCTCAAACCTTCTCACTAGCCACGGCCTTCTCATCCTCGCTGGATCCGTCACCGTGCCCGTGAAGGCCACCAATATCACCCTGGCTTCTCAGATCCCGATGCGTCACCTCGGCCATATCCGAGTCGTGCTCGACATCCAAGCTCCGGCCTCTCTTCTCCGGCCCCACAAAGGTGAGCAGAATCACGTACGCGTAGACGGCGCCCATGAAGATACAAATCACCTTGCCATAATTGTACCGCTTGACGGTCTTGCCTTCCTTGTTGATCAGCGGCTCCAGGGGATATCGTTCGCCAATCGTGGACTCGATGGTCGACGACGCCGACGACGCCAGGTTGCCGAGCTGGTAGGACGTGCCGACCACGAAGGTGCGCAGAGAGCCAGGCGACAGTTCCATCAGGTGGATGGGGATCACGCCCCAGGCGCCCTGGACGCAGAATTGCTCGAAGAACGCAGCCGCGATGATGGCGTGCGAGCTGACGAACGTGTACGGGTACAGCAAGGCGCCGCCGATGATGCTGATGAAGATGATGCTGAATCGTCTCCCAAAGATCTGCGAGCAGTACCCGATCACGGTGCCGCCCGTCATGGCTCCGAGGTTGGCCACAACCTGAGTGACGGTGACGGCGTCGGCCGAGAATTTGAACTGGTTGGTCAGCATGGTCGGGTAGAGATCCTGGGCTGTATCCGCTCGTTAGCATGTACGTGAGAGTCTACATGGAAGTGGTCCCAGACTTACAGCCGTGCGACATAAAGTTGAAGCCTGCCATGAGAAGCACCAGATAAATCAGCAACAGCCAATGCCTCTTCAACGCCACTCGCCCCTCCGAGATGAACGTCCCGGCCAAACTGCCCTGCTGGGCACGAAGCGCCTGTCTCGCTCGGAACGTGTTCGTCTCCGGGAGGCACAATCTGAAGATGATGATCAAGATGGGCGGACAGGCGCCAAACCAGAACAAAGGCCTCCAGCCGTGGCTCGTCGTGTTGACGAGACCACGCGAGAATGCCGTGGCAAGCAAGTACCCGAACGCGTAACCCTGTTGAAGCATGCCGGAGATGATGCCCCGAGCGGCTTCGGGACAGTCTTCCAGGGCCGTGGCTGCCGCGTTTCCGTAAAGACCTCCCATGGCGATGCCGAACAGAGCGCGCACCGCGAGGAATTGGCCGTAGGTCTGGGTGAAGCCAGTGCCGAGTTCGAGGACAATGAACAGGATATTGTTGATGACAAAGGGCCTAGCATTGGACTTGTCAGCACACGTTCAGAGCGTCGGAGGCTGCTGATCATACCATTTCCGACCATATCGATCGGCGGCAATCCCAAAGATGGTCGAGCCGACGGATCGAAACATGAGCACCAAAGTAATACCCCAGGTAATGTCCGTGTTCGTTTTCCCAAACGTCTCGGCGAGGTCAGACACGGTCAGCGACACGGTGAAGAAGTCAAAGGCGTCCCAGGACCAGGCCAAGAAAGCAACCAGGAAGAACAGCCACTGCTGGGTGTTGAGCATGGCCAGCAACTTGAATGGGTTCGGCGCTTTGGCCATCGGCGGCTTGAGAGTGGTCACTCGCGTGGCGGCATACTTGGCTGGGGACATGTGGCGGTTGGAGAGTTCGTCGACGTCGTTGCCGTTGGGATGAGCGACGGCGACATTCTCCTTTTGGGCGCCGACATGAGCCATGGCGAAGGTCTTCACCCGAGAACTCGGCTGTCGGTAGCAGCACTACGTCAGAAAGAAAAGATCTGCGTCGCGTGTCAGTCACGGTCGTGGCCTCCAAACAGCCAGAGACTTTGCGCGCCCTCGATTGAGTCCGTTTGCCGTAGACTGTTAGGGCCCAGGGAAGGCAAATTAGGCTCGAGATAGAGGAGAGAGAGAACGGGAGCCATTGACAACGGGCACACTGCAGATCTTTTATCTTCAGATTTCGAGGTCATGAGAGCAGCAGGGAGCAGCAAGAACAGCAGCTGCCCTATGGAGCAAAACGGCAACTGATCGGCACCAACCCGACCTCCGGCGAGGTCATGATGCGGTTTACCATGCTAGGGTGTGATTCCTGGTTGGATGCTGGGTCTCGTCCTCCGTGGGGAAGAAGCCCTGACCGACCTGTGAAGGGCGTCGCAGGATCAGGAATTGCGGGGAGGAGATGTGTGCAGGGGAGAGCGACGAATGATGGCGACGCTGAGATATGCTCTTCACCCGTCGGTCGCAGAATGCCTGCTGAAGCTTGCCACTGAGCGTGACATCGCGCGGCTCAGGATTGGGGCGACACGGCCTTGAATGTGGTATGACTCGGCCATTCCAGGCGGCCATGATCATGGTAGACACTGCGACACAGTCAGACGGGCACAGCAGATGGGAAAGATTGGACGGTGTTTTCTAGGGCTTCCATGGTATTACTCGATCTAGTATCTGCAGCCTGCAAGGCTTGTTCTTTGTCGCGTTCTGCTGATAAATTCACAAGCACGCGAGCCAGCATTCATCCAGACAATAACTGCACTGTGCGATACTCGCCATTACTCCAGCACGAAATTCTGTTGCAGGCTGCAGACTGAGGATGCAGGCTGTCTAGCCCACACTTGGCGTACGTTGGTGGCGGGCCAGGCGGGCTTCTTTCGGGGCTTCGCAGTGCTAGCCAAGGCCCTTAGGCGGCCCTATCAGCCTATCGCGCCCCCGCCGGCGGTGCTTGGAGTGCTTGAGCTGCCCGCAAGCTTTCCGAAGCCTTGGGGCAGTTTTGCTGGGCGCACCATCGCTTCGCCGGCGTGTCAGCATCGCAAAGCTTGAATTGACTGATCGACTCGCGGCCTCCGAACTTTCACCTGCACCGCTCAACGGCCTTAACTACTGTAACAATTTGAACTCAACGGTAGTTGAAACATCTGCAATCCTGTCCTGCCCGTCTGTTGGGCGAGAACAGGTGCTCTCTCTCACGATGTTCCTCCGTCCTCGCCTGCCTGTGGCCACTGCCACCCTGGTGCGCAGTCTTCCTCCGTTGACCCGTACCGCAAATCCAGTTCCGCAGCCAGGCTCCCCAGGTTGAGCTCGTCCTCTGCGGCGAATGCTTCGAGTAAGCTTTCTCATACAGCATCTGCCGCATTTGGCTCATGACACTGAAACCCCAGTAGTAGATGCGGTCCGTGAGACCTGTCGCCGACGCGTTGAGCAAGCTCCAAGTGCCCTGGTATTTGCGCTCATATGGCCGTGCTTCCACCAGTAAATGTACCGCCTCTTCCATCAGCTCTTCCATGTAGAGCACGGCGTCGCCGATAAAATGCTGCTCTCCGAACCTGTAAGAGCGCAACGCCACCACCGAGTACAACAGCTCGTCGTCTGCTTGCAACAAGGCCTTCTCCAGCCGACGGTCTCGTTCTATCATGCGGCACCTCTGGATAATGACGTTCTTCAGTCCAAGAAACCGTTCGCGTATCCTGGTCAAGCGACGCTCAGCTTCTTGGGGGGTAAGTTTGATGTGGACTCGGAATGATTCTGATGGTTCTTCCTTGGGGTGTCCCGAGGCAGCCCTCGAGCCACTGAATATGCGCTTCGTTCATGCCAGTGTCGGGAAGGTAAATATGTCTGATGAGCTTTTGTTTGACTGGATACATTATGAGTGCTGGAGTGCGATTGGCAAGACGACGGGCGACGGCAAGAGCAGAATAATTGCAAGTCGTTCTTGACGGTCGTGGGCGATGATTTTATCCTTTGCAAAGCCGCCTTGAGGACCTGCCCAAATTTTCCCCCGATCGAGCAGATTGTCTTCCTACCAGCAACTGAATCACAATGAAGCAGCTCTAACTGGTCAACCCGACGCAGCGTGGTTTACAGTTTCCATCGATCGAACGGGTATCTGGCTTCGACTAACTCCCACATCAAGGTCTGCTCTTAGCAACAGCGCACGGTCACTGTGTATGTCCTCGAGATGAACCACAGAATGGCGCCCAGCAGGTCCTCATCAGTGACCACCTCGTTCCTATATAGCGACACCGTGCTCTCGCCGTTGTGACCTTTCTCCCACTCTACTGGAACTGCTTCCAATCGAACCCTAGAAGACTCCATGCCTAATGCTTCCTCCATTGCCGTCGCCAACCCAGCTTCTGTAAGCACCAGCAATAGGCTCCCACTACGATGTCACCGGCACCACCCCCTACAACAACGACCATGTTGTCCTCTTACTCTTCCTCTTACTCTTCCTCTTACTCTTCCTCTTACTCTTCCTCTTACTCTTCCTCTTACTCTTCCTCTTACTCTTCCTCTTACTC